ATCCTAAGCAGGAAAAAAGGGATAAATCTCTAATCCTGTTCAAAAACCTGGGAGGAGTATGAACCAGGCGATAATTCTATAAAAATGCAAATAATCAAGTGTTGAAAATTAAATTAAAATATCTATTTTTGGTGTGGGCACTGGCAAATATTAAAACAGATTAAAATTTCTGGTAAACAATGTAATCCATATAAGTTGGAATTTTGCTGAAGAAAAACATTACTTTTTGCATATATACGAAAGTTTTGAAACTTTTAAAAGCTGGTTCTTGAGGCATTTTAATCTTTGAATTAATTATTCCCCCTGTAAAACTGTTGTAATGAATTTTTTTTGTTTCATTGCAACAGTTTGGAAACAAAATAAACATGGAAGTAACTTATTTATTTTTATTTATTAGAATAAAAGTAACTTTTGGTATGCTGACTTATTTTTGTCATAAATATACTTGTAAGTGTACAAAAAGACGCTTATCTAAGAAAACAATCAGTTTAATAATGCATGGTTTAACAGCAGATTTAGGTTTAATGTTTCATACTCCTTGTTTATGATATTTGAAAATATTTAATTTAATTATATGACATTAACTTTAAATAACATTCTTAATAAATGATCTTTTCATTAATTTTCTAAGATAAAATATTAAATTAGCTTCTATTTTAGTTCGTTTTTTTATTTTTTTTTTAATGGCAAACCAAACTATAATTCCAATTACTTTTTCTTTCTAAAAGGTATTTTAAAAAAAAAAGAACACAAATTACTCATAAAACAATTAAATTTTATCATCAATATACAGGATGGGCCAAAAGTAGGTATATAGGTGTTTAATTATTTATATACTGGCATGACTTTATTTTTTACAGGTATTGTGAATAATGGCAAATAATTTGAACAAGAAAAAAAAGTGGATTCTAAAGTTTGTATTGAAAGATTGAAAATGCTGAGCAGGTGTGTCAAGCGTGGAGAGAAGAATTTGATATTGTTTCACCAACACTGCTGACAATTTATTGTATAAGAGATGAATTTGAACACAGAAATTTTGACATCCCAGGAATGAAGAAAATTGTGTTAAAGAAATGTAATTGTATGTAAAAAAAAAAACAAAAAAAAACTAAAGTGTGTACCTTCTTTTGGCTCACCCTGCATTTGTTGTTATGAATAATAATAGAGAAAAATATTACATTAATTTTATAAAGACAAAAAAATGGGATTTTTAAATAAATTTTCCTGTGTAAAAACAGAATTGAGACAAAAGTCTGTTTAAAAATTAAACCTAAAAGCTAGAAAATAAAATTGGATTAATAAATTATTTCTTTAAATCAAATAATGTCTTTTTGTTAGCACACATTAGCGTGTATAGATTTCCAACTTCCTTTTTCTTTAATTCTGCAGTGTAAAAAGTGTCATAATATAAGAACTGTAGCAAAAATTTATCATACATTTTATACCAGTTACAAAAAAATATACAGATTACACAATATTACTTCCCTTTTCACTGCATTCTTTTTCAAGGCCTTTCAGTTGCAGTATCCTTATTGTTAATTTCACTCAAAGTTACTTTCTGTTGCCATAGCAGGATATGACAACACAACTATGAAATTCAAACACACTATTGTTCAGGAATTGGCAGGGGCAGGATAAACTTTTTGTATAGCAAATGAAGTCACATACAGAGTGATTAAAGGTCAATCATTTCATCCCAAGATGTAAGAGGCTACTAAGAGTAGAATTTAAGAGAAAGAATTGGAAACCCAATACTAAACAGGAAACAAAGGATAAATCTCAACATATTTGTTTTATAAATAAAAATTTCATAGAGAAGAATGTTAACAGATTGCGACATTCTATCAGAGAGAATGAAATTTAAATTTCTATTATCCCATTATTCCCAAATGTTAACACATCAGCAGATAGGTATTAATGTCAACAACTGAGCACAAATAGTTATTAATTAAAAAAAACACTAATTAATGGATAATATTATCCATAACTACATGTACAAGAATGTCGTTTTTGATAAAAGTTAAAAAATAACCATCAATATGTAAAAAATGCGTATATTGTGGAAAATTCCCTTTTCCACAATATAGCTATTTGTGCTATGTTATAATGCTTATTACCTAAACAATAATAATACTGAATAATTTTTTAAACATTAAAGTATATTTAATCACGTCTCCCTAATTGCTGTCACAATCTGTAAAATAATTTTAAGTGAAAAATATTAAACTACCAAGTGACAAGACCAAGATTTCTAAATTAGTTTTTCGTGAATTTTGCACAAAAAGATTGTTTATGCAATAGGCATAAAATAACATCGCAAATCCAAAGTCATATATTTCAATTAAATAAGCTAAATTTATTCTAAGTGTAACAGCAACAACATTCTTTGAATTTCTTAAGCCAACTATAGCCTTGAACTACCACAAACCCAAACTAAAATATGTCAGTTTTGAAATAGGCCTCCAGTTCTGGCCCTTTGTTGTATCATGAGCTGGCCTGTAGTATAGAACACCATAGAAGGACTTATTTTATCCTGTACAATATTTATGACTTGAATTACTTCCTTCATTTTACAACAGATAACATGAGTGTGGCAAACATGTCAATAAACAAGCAAAAGAGGCCTCAGATCGCATGCAGAGATGTTTGCTGCTAATGGGGGTGTTGGGGGAACAGGATGTAAATGGTGTTGGCAGTTTGCCAAGTCTAAATATAGGCCTCTCTGCAACTGGTCTAGATCTGAGTCTTAGTAAGATGCCTCATGCCAATAAGAGGAGGAGGAAAACTAGCAGTTGGTAAGACACAAAATCTAGTGAAGTCGGTCCCATGAGCATTTTTGTTCCTCAATTTGTTGTAGCTTCTGAGGCAGCATTATTTTTTGTTGCCTAATGTCTTTCTCCTTTTTCCCATCAACTACTGGGGTAACAAGCAGAGTTAGGTGTTTCCCCTAACCTCAATACACTCTTGCTGTACATTACTACAGAAATAACAGTAAAAACACATGTTTGCCAATTGCCAACTACTAGGTTTTCCCCCTGCTTTTATTGGCATGAGTTGTTTTACAAAGACTTGGATCTTGACCAGTTGTGGAGAGGTCCGTATCTAAACATTCCAAGCTGTTCTGCTGCTAACAGGAAAACCTGGATGTAACATGCATGACAAACCACTAGGCTTTGACTTACTCTTCGAAATAGCTTGTAGTAATGTACAGCTAGAGTGTGTTGAGGCTGGGAGAATATCTAACTCTCCCCGCAACTATGGGGGTAACAGGCAAAAAGGAGGGATGTAACAAAAATAAGACTACCTCAGAAATCACAGTAACTTCAGGAACAAAAATACCTATGGGACTGACTTCACAGGACACTGTGTCTTACTAACTCAATCATGCCCTTGATCCTCTTGGTTTGGCAAACCACCATGTAGTGTATTAATTATATCCGAGTTTTTCCCGTTAGCAACAAGAGGGGTTGGCATGTCTAAATACGTGCTTCTCTGCAACTGGAAAAGATCCAGGATTTTATAAGCTGCCTCATGCCAATAAAATTAGGGGCCAAACCAACAAACCATAATGATCAAGGGGTTGATTGAGTTTGCAAGACACTGTACTGTGTGAAGTTAGTCCTGTAGATATTCTTGTTCCTCAAGTTGCTGTAGCTTCCGAGGCAGTGTTATTATTTGTTACCTAATATCTCTTTCTTCTCTCTGCCTATTAACCCCTGTAGTTGCTGGGAGAGTTAGGCATTTTCCCCCCAACCTCAACACACACACTCATCGTACATTAATACAACAAGACAGATCAGTGGATGGTGAGAGACTTTTTAATGTAACTATAGAAATCTACGAAGAATTACTTCTGTCAAGGAATAACAACACACACTAAAAACACACAAGCATACTAAAACACAATTATGACATACAGAAGATTTTATTTTTTTCTGCTCCCCCCCCACAAAAAAAATTTATTACTGAACAATGATTTTAACATTTAGCACTCTACATTATTTAGAAATATTACTTCACCTTTTACTGTATATGGAATCCCCTAAAAATATAGTGTTTTATATATTAGGTCTATATATTTGATATTATAGTAGCCTGGCTCTCAATTTCAGTCAAGATTGTTTTAGGTGTTGCCATAGTAGGATATGAATATATAACCAAGAAATTCAAATTCAATTTACATTGGCAGAACTAATATTTTGCTTGATGGAAATAGTCACCTACAGAGTGCAAAAGGTTAGGGTTAAATGAGAGTCTAAAGTAAAATTTATGAAAATTTAGTTGATTTTCTATCGTTTTTTTTTTTTTGTAAAGCCATATACCATAAGGACATCGTGGATTCCTTTCTTTTGTTATCTGAATTCTAACACATTCTTAGGAAAGATAGTCAAATATTTTCCCTTTGCCTTCATAGTTTTCAATCCAGAATTTTCCTTCTGAAATTGGTTGCTACCCAATGCTGTCCAGCTATTTAACCTATTGCTTGAGGGAAAGAAGGAACAGATTCATGCCTTTCCCAAAAGAATTAGTGCTGTTCCACTGGGCTTAGGGTGGAAGGATAAGTTATGAGACTGGCCGCTGAAAAGTCAAAGACAACATGATACGTAGTAAACTTATTTATACAAACTGCCCTCTGGATATGTCTTGATCCCAGCATTCCCTAGTGGAACCAAAAGTGCTTACAATCATCATCATAATCAACATTATTGATGTCATTATAACAAGCGCAAAAGGGAGCACAACAGATGACCCCAGAATTTGAACTCTGCTCCCCACGCTAATATCCATCACCTTACCTCCACATCCTATTCTAAATTACAATTTAAGTTTTTTGAAGTTAATTCTACTGATTAAAAAAAAATGAATTCTGGATCAATCAGACAAAATAAGAAAGATAAGGACAAGAAAAAAATAATTTCGATAAAGATTAAATTTTACATTCACTTTCTAAAGATATTACATCAAAATTAAAGAAATTCTACAGTAAAATATAAACTTACCTTCCATAAGCCAGCTATGAATCCTAGTAAGAGTAAAATTCCTAAAACTACACATAATACAATTATCCAGGTTTTCACAGGTTTTGGTTGTCCAGGTGAGCGGAAGTTGGTGCTTACCTGAAAGTAATTAAAAAACATAAATCATTAAATAGTTGAAGAAAAAAATTTAACTGATAAATACATCTTGTTAATTTTTAAAATCATTAAGCAATTCATTTATTAGGATTTAATATTTATTTTGTTGAAACTTAATTATTAATTTGTTTATTTTTTAAAATCATTAAGTGTGGAGTGAGTAGCCATAGTCAACTGCAAAATAAGTAACAGAATTGTCCAACAAACAGAATTGACAAAGTTTGCAATAAGAAAAAGCAAAGAACATGGCAAAATAATAATATAAAGCAAGCAAACAATATATGCAAAGGCAAGTAAGCAAGTTCAGACCAGCGAACATAGGGTTCCAACTTCAACACAAGACAGGCCAGTATTGCATCAAATGAAACTGCGAAATGGCATATTTTATTGGCAAGGAAAAAATCCCAGTATGCATTTGTGCTTCTGCAGGAAGTATTTTGCAGTCATTGCTGGCAATTGAAATCAACATCAAGCAATTCAATTATTATGATTGAACATTTATTTTGTCATTTTAAAAGCCTGCATAGTTGATAATCTTGTATATAAAATACATTTCAAGAAATTCTGATCAAAGTTGGTTTCATATATTCCTATACTAGAGCACATCAATATGCTGTAATAGTTAGTAAGCTTGTCAACTACAACAAAATACCGAGTTCGATCTTCACTAGGTGCTCCCTACTTTTGACCTTGTGCCACATCTAAGCCATACTTAGTAAATCACTATATTCCTGTACTATCACCAAATATTTATCTGCTTTGGACTGGCAATAATGTGATCTGTTTTAACACCAATGCCAATATTTAGTTTGACTGGGACTGTTTTAGTTTGTGGAGTCTGCCCCAGGGTAGAAGTTATCAGCATTTGTGTGTGTGTGTGTGTGAGCCCAGAAGCTTAAGTGCTGTTGGGTCACTATTATGCAGGGCAGTATTTAGTGGGTACATGTATTTGAGGAGGCGACCCTGTGTTGTTGTTTTTTTAAACATTGAAATCAATGGCTACCAGTTCTACTGAAGAAAATGTGCCTACTAAATATAGTGTTTACTGTGATAATTATGCACACACAAATACTTTTTAAGTCAACAAAAACTGCCCAAAACAAAGTTACCATATATGATGATATATAACCTACTTCAATTTACATTTAATATTATAGTATAATGGAGTTAAGCTAGGTAAAAATATTGGTATGGCACCTGGGTAAACATTAGCCTACCAGATACCTCAACTTTTCATATAAGTTTTTTTTCCTAAATGTTAGAGTATTATAGAGGCAATCTAGATACATGTTTATATATAGTCTAGGTAAACAGTCTACCAGATACCTTAACTTTGTATAAATTTCTTTTAGAGGTATTTTGAACTATTATGGAGCAGAGGTAACAAAAAACATTCTATAAAAAAATAAAAGCAATGAGGACTCTTATGTAGTATCAAATTATGTAATATTTTTTTAAAAGAAATTTTTACTGAAACCAACAAACGTCAATCATTATAAATGAAAAAAGGAGAAGAAAAAGAAAGGTAATTACAGAGTAAATTTTCCCTTCAATTGCAACATCATCGACATAATCTTTATCTTTTACTGAATTCATTATTAGTTCACTTTTGACAACTGGTAACATCTGAAAAAAAAAGTAAAAAAGAAAAAGTTATTTTGGCATTATTTAACAATTTCAGTCTTTTTAACATTTTTGCTTTTTTATAAAAGAAGGCAATTAAAATCTAATCAATAGTGAAATAATTATTGTGTTAAGAGAATCTATTTTTATGAATGAACTTTCTCCAAGTTCTGCATCATTTAAATAGAAGATTTCATAGAACACTTTGATGTCGTCAGATGAACTTACAAGTGGAGATCTTTTATCTGGGTATTCAAATTTACTGGGTGGCACCAAAATTAAGTGAGTTGGCTGGCAAAGTCAGTTGTTGTAGAAATAATATTTTTGTTCTCCTTTAATTTTCTTTATCTTATTTCCTTTATCATACATGTGGCAATTGGTTAAAAGAAATTTTCATTAAAGTAATTATTTGTCAAAGTCAAATTTAATTTTTCAAATATTAAATTCAACAGAAATGCTTTCTTATCAAACCTTTGACTTTTGACTAATTTAACAAATTCCATTGTTACCCATTATCCAATAAAAAGAAAAAGGTATTTCTCCATTTATGGAGAAGGCATTTATACCAATCAAAAAAAAGTAAGATAAAAAATGATGGAATAGGGAAAATTGCTAATATTTTTAATCTCTTCTTTTTTATAATTAATGGTCCAGTTCAAATATATAATTAGAAAAAAGGGTCCACATGTGCTTCTTATAACATGTAAAATAGATAGGTTAGTTAATAAAACAAGCACAAACAAAAGAATACCAATATAATCAGTATGCTAAACATTTATTAAGTATTAATTATTAACCATATGACAGAAATGAAGCATGGAGAAAAAGGTTTAAAGTTTGGAATTTTGGGACATTCCTGTGTCCTTCATCAATGGACTAAAGAAAAAAAAACAGACAAATGGGAATTACTCATCGACAGATGTTTTTGTAGACGGTGTATTTTCTGGTGGAAATCATATTGTTAGCAGAAAATCAATCTATCTGATTCCTAGATGTGCAAAACTTTTTATGAAAATAAACTTAAATTTAAAATTTTGATCGGTGTAAAAGCATTAGGCAGGTCTATTATTATTAGTGGGAGAGTGAGATTGTAAACATAGATGAAGAGATTTATAGGCTGGGGAGGGAGAAAGACGTCTCGTGTGTAGCAAAAATTGTTGAGCCAAGTTGTCAAGTGTAGAAAGATGAACTGTGGTTAGAATATGATGTGATGAAGAAAAATGAGGAGGAAAAAATGGAATATATAATGATAAAATATTGTTAAATTAGATGAAAAGAAAAAAGTGAAGGAACAAAAAATGGATAAAAATTTGGAAGTCTATTGTTAACAAAAAAAGGGGGTACAGAAAATAGTCTTGCCTTTATTTTTTTTATTTTATTCTAAGAGGAAAGGTGTATACATATATACATAGATGCACACGTACATAACAGTATGTAAATATACACAAGCCACCACACAAACATGAATCTCAATTTTTTTTTTTTTTTTCTTTTTTTAAGCGTTTTACCCCAAGCAAGGGGGGGGAAGCTACTAGGATGCAAGGGGTTACAGAAGATTTGGAGCAAGATCAGATAGGAGTGATACAGGAAAGGATGAGAAGGATAGTGGATAGATCAAGACAACTGGAGATGTCAATTGACATTACATTTGAATAATTAGAGATTATAGCTCTCAGGGAAACTGGAATAGGGAAGGGAGTTCCACAGGCGAGAGGTGCAAGATATGAAGCTATTGAAGTAGCAGAGACACTACATTTAACAGTTTCGACAGTGAAAGGGTGAGAGCGGGATGCCAGTCTCGTAAGGCGCTTGAATTCATTGTCTGGGAACCAGCGAATGCAGCTCCTCAGAGCAATTACCATGAAAGTATTTGTAAAAAAGATAGAGAGAGGCAACAACGCATCTGTGAGAGAGCGACTGTAGATGAGATGCCAGATCAGGGCCAATTATATTGCATATCCGCCTCTGGATCTCATCAAGAACCCCGAGGCAAACAGAAGGGGCTCCAGACCATATATGGCAGCAATACTCCATGCAAGGGAGAATTGTTGATTTGTAGATCTGAAGGATCGATTCCGGGAAGAAAAATTTCCTGGCGCAGCACAGGGAGCCAACTTTCCTTGCGGTGGACGAAGCAATTGACTCAATGTATTTGTTCCTTCTCAGATCAGCAGTCAACGTGAAACTGAACAGCTGCAGAGAGTTGCTCTCGAGAAGTTGACCATCAGACATTCTAATGGAGGGCAGGGAAGGATCTCTCTGGTGATTAATAGAGAGCAGTTTTATTTTTGAGACATTATAGTTGACCAGCCAATTCCTGCCCCAGTTCACAACTGATTGGAGGTCCTTTTCGAGACACACAGCCAGGTTAGTTTTGTCAGTGACACTAGATTTGTTTTCGAGGCAGGAGTAAATTGTGGTGTCATCCGCATAGATGCCAACTTGGGAATTTATGGTGTCAGGAAGGTCATTTATGAAGATAAGGAATAGAGTAGAGCCCAGGATGAGCCTTGAGGAACACGTGTTCATGGGACAGGAACTGGAGGAGAATCTGTTGAGAACAACCTTCAATTCATGGTTTGATAGGAATGATTGTATTAGGTCAAACAATCGACCCATAATACCATAACCCTGGAGCTTGCAAAGAAGGCCGGCATGCCAAACCCTATCAAATGCTTTAGAGATGTCTAGGGCCATTGCATGTAAAGATATAAATACATGTACAAAATTAATATGTATCTACACTAACCTTCTCTACACTTTACATAAGCTTATATGTAAAGGAGCCATAGTGATAGTTTAAAAGAGGGTGACTGGAAAGTAGCTCTGCGTGCACGGCAATACTTCCATTACTGAATAGTGTATAATGAGGGAAATCATAGGTGAAAGAACGTAAAAATATAGTAGGTAGGTGATGGCTCATCTGAGAAGTGGTGTTGCTGATAATGGGTTTCCTTGTTGAAATTGTGATCTTTGAGTAAACCCAAATCTTTGTTTAGTTCCTCTATGTAGGAATTTACTTTTAGGATATACTTCAACTCCAATCTGCATCTATCCTCCCAGCTACTAAACCAAGATACTAAAAGCACACACTCGATGTCGTCAATTTTTTAGGTTGGAGGGTGGCAGCTATTGAAATTAAGGCAGCAATGGCCATCAGTAGGCTTGATGTATAGTGTAGTGGAGATGTGGTTGTTATTGAGACCTACTAATGGGCCCAGAAACAGAATGGAGGTGGTAGAATATTCCAGAGTAAATTTGATAGTGTGGTAGAAATTATTTCCACAAGGAAACCCATTATCAACAACATCACTCAATTTTTTGTTCCTTCACTTTTTTCTTTTCATTTAATAATATTTTATTATTATATATTCCATTTTTCCTCATTTTTTTCATCACATCATATTCTAAACACAGTCCTTCTTTCTACACTTGACAACTTAGTCTGACAATTTTTGCTACAACTGGCTACACATGAGACGTCCTTTCCCCCTCCCCAACCTATAACTCTCTTCATCTATGTTTACAATCACACTCCCCCACTAATAATAATAGACCTGCCTAATGCTTTTACGCCAAACAAAATTTTAAATTTAAGATTATTTTCATAAAAAGTTTTGCACATTCAGGAATCAGACAGTGATCAGGTTTTTGCTAATAATATGATATCCACAGGAAAATACACCATCTACAAAAACATCTGTCAGTGAGTAATTCCCATTTCTCTGTTTATTTCTCACCCCCATTGATGAAGGATACAGGCATGTCTGAAATTTCTGGACTTAAAACCTTTCTTTCTGTGCTTCGTTTCTGTCTTATGGTTAATAATTAATATTTAATAGATGTTTATCATACGGATTATATTGAAACCCTTTCATTTGCCCTTCTTTTATTAACTAACCTATGTATATATATATATATATATATATATATATATATATATATATATATATATATATATAGGATGATTTCAAAATTTTTGAAATATATATAATTAAAAGTCCAATACAAATTGTGTGTGTGTGTATATATATATATATATATATATATATATATATATATACACACAAGTTGTATTGGACCTTTTAATTACATATATATAAAAAATTAGGAAATATATATATTATATATATATATATATATATACACACACACACACAATCTCTTATATTCCACCTGAAGATCTGAAGATTGCAGAAACTGCATGAAACTGAGTCATACTATCGATGTTGGATATTATGTATATTCACTAATATATACTTATAATAATAATAATATATATAATAATATATAATAGCTTTGTTTCATAACATTGAGTACTGTATTTATGATACCTAGGGAAGGAGTATATTTATATGTATGTAAAATTTTTCATGCATGTATATATGTATGTGATTTATCAGATTTTAATTACTAGTTCATCCACAGTAAATTTGTCTCCAGGTTCTTACATCATTTAACAATTCTTGGCAGATCTTCTGTTTTCATGATGTGGGATATTTAATAACAAAGATGATAGAAACAAAAACAAAATGAGCAAGAATCTAAATGAAACTGGCTACATCATATTGTCAAAAGACATACAAAAAAATAATTCTTTTAAATTTAGGTTTACCAGCATCTCTCATTCAGACTTATGTAGTTGTATCAATAAACCTTGTATGATGAAGTGAAATACATATCAAACACAAAAGTAAAAATAGCTGAATTTCTTTCTTCTTTTTCTTCAGATCTCATTCTCTAATGAAGCTTTAATAGGAGAGAAATAGGTTTTGTCTTTGATAAATGGACATTTTGCCTGTTCAGCAATCATTGCAATAACATTTGATCCTAGCCAAATTGAATCAGAAATTTGTAGTCAACTTACTGAGTCCAGCTTTGCAATATCCATTTTCATATAAACTTCAATTAAAAACAACGATTCTTTTAGCCATTCTCTGAAATGGCATTTCATTTCATAAAACTGGGGCTTGTTGTTAAATGTCTGAAACAAAAGGAAATGAATTAAGACTTGTATATTAAAAAAAAATGCAATTAAAATGGAAATTCTATTTTTCCTCAAAACAAATGGAATCATAATTAGACAAAAATATTGAAACATTTAATCTGAAAAAATCAACTTTTATATTGTTTGTGTTGACTTAAAAAATTATATGTTAAAATTGTGGAGTTACCCTACTTACTTTCCTGAAAAAAAATAAAAAATAAAATAAATAAAAATAAATAAAAAAAAAAAAAAAATAAAATAAAATAAAAAATAAAGAAAATAAAAAAAAAAATAAAAAAAAAAAAAAAATTAAAAAAAAAATAAAATAAAAAATTAAAAAAAAAAATAAACCACCGCTGGGGGACATTCTGTCTTATTTCTGATTTTTTTTTTCTCTAGCTTTCAGATGTAGTCAAATGTAGATAAAAACACTGCCGCTGCGGCACATTTGGTCCTCTGTTGACTTTTGAACTCTCTCTCTCATATATATATATATATATATACAAACACACGTATCTATCACACACTTGTACACAAACAACTCCACTAGTTTAAATGTTTTCTTCTTTCATATTCATTGTTTTGTCACATGCAACAATCTTCTATTGTCTATGTATACCTTTGTTTTGTTTATACATACTTATCATTTATTTAGATGCATGTAGTTTAGTTGTTACTTTTTCATTTTTATTACCTGGACTCATATTCTCGTCCACAATAATTGTTGTAGGAAATATATACCAAGAGATGTGTTTTTATAGATATACCTATATATATATATATATATATATATATATATATATATATACTAGGAGATGTGTTTTATGAACATTCAACCAGCATCACCCACAACAAATTATTCAAATTGTCTCGAAATTAACAATCAAAAATATATAAACTTTTGCTTCAAAACTTTTATTCTGTCAATTCTTAAATCAATTGAAATTTTTTTTTTTTTACTTAAAATATTTACTCAAATTTTTTTAATCATTTCACCCCAAGCAAGGCAATAAAGCTACTAATATGCAAGGGGTTATTGAGTGTTAGAGAATATGAGATGAAAAAAGTAAAACACTATTAAGTAGATTAAGAAGACAAAAGATAACAATTGACATTGCATTTAAATTTTTAAAGATCAAAATTTGACTGGAAAACAAGAAGCAAGAAAAGAGTTCCACAAGTGAGAAGTGTGAAAGAAAAAACTTTTAGCATAGAACTTACATCGAGACATTTCAATTGTAAAATGATGAGACCTTACCACCAATCTAGTACTGCACTTAAATTCATAAAGTCTAGATACAAGAGATCATCAGAACAATTACCATGAAAGTATTTCTAGAAAAGTCACAGGAAAGCTACATTATGGCGGTGGGAAAGGAACTGAAGCTGAGATGCCAGGTCAGGACAATGTATATTCGTTGGATTTTATCAAGAATCTCTAAATATATAGCAGGAGTACCAGATCAAATATGGCAGCAATATTCAAAGAAAAGATGAATGGTAGACTTATACATTTTCAACCTTTTCTGCCCAAGGCACCGTTTTCACCTGATGTCAGAATTCCATTTACAACCTTTTTAAGACTGTCCAACTCAAAAGGTGCATTCCAAATAACATACATATACTATTGAAAATCTATATTTTTTTCTAATATTAGTACATACATACATACATACATACATACATACATATATATATATATATATATATATATATATATATGGATAATTTTGTAAATAAAAAACAAGAAAAATTAAGATTCCCCCACTGAAATCCTGACAGCGCCCCTGCGCCCTACGAGAACCCATGATATAGTGCAACCTTTTTCTATCTATGTGCTGACTTAGGGTTTTGAAATCATTCAGTGTGCCAACAGCATACATATTTTTATTCAAGTCAAGGTCAATATACCTGTTCTACAATATATTTTATATAGTAATATATAGTATATATACTTTAGTATATATTAAAATTGTAGCAGCTAAATATCTTCTTGGCGTTGTAGTAGTTATTGGTTGGGACTTCATTATGTCATTTGCAGCTGTGTGTCATTGGAAATGGCGTGGCATGCATGCCGTATATTGCTGACCTGATATAGAGAATAGGAGAATTCATTGTTACTGAACAAAGCCATTCAGTTTTGATGCAGAAACTAAACTTGGCCACAAATTATTAAAAAAAGAAAAAAAAAAAAAATCAAAAATTTATGCAGAAATTAAAACTGTTAATAAATAAATTAACTTGGAATTGGTGATTTTCACTTCAGCTATAATCTTCTAAAATTTACTATGCAATTATTTGTCTTTTGTCAAATGTCTATTTATGAGAACACACCATGCCATTGAAATAGTAGACTGAAGTCAAAAATAAATAAATTGATATTAAAGTTATCTCCCTTCAATTTTCTATTTTGATTCTTTGGTGGAATGAAGTGAAAATTCAATTTAATAGTTCTAGTGAAGCCAGTTTTGGGGCAAATAACATTCGATGCTATGATTGTTCCCCTCAATGAAAGGAGTAAGCACGGTGGAGTAATTGATAGCAGCTCGGATTGAGCTGAGTTTGAATTCCAGTCAAATCCATTACATTCACTTATGCGCTAATACCCTTGAGAAAAGTATGAATCCTCTCCTCACCCCACCCTGCTATGGGTAAATAGCAGAACAAACCGGGTTCTATAGCTTTGGATGGCAACTGGTCTACTGCAGAAAGAAATGGCAACCTACTGTGAGAAAAATCTGCCATGTCAGTCATGTATCAAAAGATACATCATTGCCTACATGTGTATCACGCATAGCACACAACTGACTGAAGCCAGTTTTGGGGCAAATGATATTCGACGTTATGTATGATATAATATAGACAAACTACATAACAGAAAGATGGTGAATTAAAAAACATTTGGGATATCAAATTCAATCCCTAAGAGAATAAGCTGTAAAAATATATTTGAGTGAAATGAAGCATTTTGAATTCAACAGTTTCTAAATCTGATAAAAGAGACATGACCAGTGGAAATATTTACAATTAACAAAAATAAGGATATCAATTCAATTTCAAAATCAGTTTAAAGAAATCAATATTTTTATTCTTATTTTAATATTTCTGCTGCTGTTGACATACTTATACATTTTTATGAAACAGACTATCTGCTGTTGGTGTATATATACATTTTCAGGACACTGAAATGTCAATCCCAAGTATTTGTGTTATAAAAAAAAAGTACTTCCATTTTAAAACCAGCATAAAATATGATCTTGTTTGTAAGATATTTTGTATTATATTTTATGTTATATTTTGTAATTTTTTTATATTATATTTTGTATTATATTATATTTTATATTATATTTTGTAATTTTTTTTATATTATATTTTATATTATTTTATATTATATTTTGTATTATATTATATTTTATATTATATTTTGTATTATATTATATTTTATATTATATTTTGTAATTTTTTTTATATTATATTTTATATTATATTTTGTATTATACTGTGTGCTGGGGTGCTGTTTAGCTTAGTCTGTATTGCAAAATATCCAGTCAAAACAAAATAGTGGCATCCATCTCTGTCAGCTTCTTTTCAGTAATTGGCAATTTCGTATTTTCCCCAAAATAGGCTAGCACAGCCAGGCAACAATGCTGTACCAATAATACAGTGAATGAATCAGTTTTAAAGACCATTAACAATTCATTTTATTACTAAATTAGTATTTACCAATTTAATAACAAAATTTTGAACAACTACATAAAACATTTACTTCAAAATTTATAATTCATAAATATAAACAATATGATAATAAAAAATATTTTGTCAGTGTAAAATATTTAAATGAAGGATTTTATTACCTCTGAAAGACAAGTGATGCGTAGAAAAGTTCCAGAACTATTAACCTGTAGTAAAAAAAAAAAAAAAAAAAAAAAATGAAAAGAGAAATTATAAAAAAACAAACATTATTTGAATAAAAGAAAATTTATAATCTAAAAATCAATCTTTTTAAGATTAAAACAATTAAAAATTAATTAAAATTGTTGAAAGGAATTTAAAGATTTATTTAAATCATCTCATCTTTGAGATATATAAAAATTAAAACTTCTAATTTGGATTGTTGTTATTACAAATATCACAATAATCAACAGATATCCCATATCAGCCATTTAATGGACATCTGATGATGACCAGAGAGCACTTAGTTGAAACAGTGTTTCTATAACAACATCTATATCAACCAAGATGAGAACAATAGTTTGAAATAATACAAAAATATTGACAATTACTGATGTCAGAAAAGAAATACTAAATGATAGATTGTTGTTGTTTGAAAAGATTATTTTTCTAACATTTGTTATTCATTGAGTTAATAGTAAAAAAAAAAAAAATAAAAAAAACTATGTTGCTGGAACATATGACTGGACTTGGTTTTTTGTACGATTTAAGTAAAAACAAAGTTATCTCCCTTGGCACCTGACTGAATCAATAATTTTCTGATGTGCATTTTAACACAAATGACACTGGTAAATAAAGAAATAGAAAATATTCAATAAAAATTTAAAAATACAGGAACTAGAAGAAATATCCTGAAACAGGATGTTATAACTGATTCAATATAATCTAGTTTTTACGTAGAAACATGCACATAGTCAAACTATACATTCAGTCAATAATAAAATCTGTTGTGCCATGTTTGTTCAAGAAACTCATTGTAAAGATAGAAAAAAATAATGGGAAGCTATTCAAAAGAGTTTATGAAAATCCTAGAGTAATACAAGCCACCAACCTGTTGTAATATCGACTCTCCTGTACACCTGTGAGACATCTGTAACCTTGAAAGATTCTATCAAATCCTGCAAAACACCTGGCAGGACTGGATTACAAACAACAAAGTTCTCCATGCAAAGATGGAGAGCCGAGAAACCATCATGACTCGCCACAGACTTCAATGACCCTGATGATTGGAGAAGAGCAGTCCACGAAAAAACAGTATCCTTCGAAGAGACCAGAGAATAAATAGGAGAGACAAAGAGAGACCAAAGAAAAGCCAGAGCCCTACATTCTCTGAACCCTCCTATCCTACTTTGTAGTGGCTGTGGATATCTCTTCAGATTCAACATAAGACTCATTTTACCACAGAAGGAAATATCAATAACTACCACAATACTTGGCAACAAGTTCTGCCAACAATATTCAAGAAAGTAATTGTAGACAGATAAAAAATTACTGATGTACGCAGATGCAATCAATTTGAACAATAACAAAGAAACATAAAATATTCAGAAATAATACTTAGCTTCAATAGGGAAAAGTCAAATGTAATGGCTTCTAAAAACAAAAGAACAAATTCTTCATTTTACTAACTGTTAAAGCATGAAAATAATGTTCATATGTGAAACAAAATGTCCATAAAATGATTGTTTAGAAAGAAAAAATATATTCACTGGGTGCACCAAGTAACTTGCAATATAAAAGATTTAAACTCAGCAAATTGTTAAACTTATTTTAATATAGAGTCTAATATTAGTTTCATTAGTATTTTAATATAGGATATTTTAATTTTAAATACTTAAACCTGTATAGGAATTAAATCCTATATTTTTCAACCAATAAAATCCTATCAAAAATTTTGCTTGATAAACAATAATTACAAGGACAAATACAGCAAAAATACTTGCAGACATAGTTGTAGACCTACCATGTTATTTTTGGACCATTTAGAAAATAACAATAATAACTCCTTTCCCCATTCCTACAATTTTGAGAAAAAGATTTTTCCAAGCCAGTGTGAAATTATTTTATAACTGATGAAAACCTTGCAATCAAAAAGTTCACACCTCTATATGAAATTAGATTTTGATCTCCCTTACAGATATGAAAATAGAAGCATACTCTTTCTCAGAGTCAAACCAATTTGGGAAGCCAGTTTGATTTACATGTGTGTAGACACACACAATGAAAGAGATGACAGACAGAAACTGCCAACTAAGCTTTTGTCTATGAACTCACAAACACATTAGGCTGACTGTCATAAAGTAAGTTTGTACATACATCTCACAGCACACTACAAATATTTAATTCCTTTATAAAACAAACTTCATTGCAAGGGAAATTGAACATTTTATTGTTATTGTATATTTCTGAAAAGAATATATGTTATGTTTCTATTTTTCCTCCAGAAAAAACTTTTATATGTTTTATTTAAAAGATGTATTGTTGTTAAATATTTGGGATCTTGGCACTTAGATAAGAACAAAAACCTGGATAGACAGATCCCAAGAACTGCTCTTGGCAAATAAATTTTTACCTCATCAGATGAAGATATACTTCCATGTTCAAAAATGAAGGCCAAATTTTTTCTTATGTGTTTACATATCCAATTTATGGAAACATTTCTTAATATTTTTCTAAATAGCATCAACTTTTGTTTTTCTTTACATTTTTATTTTTATGACTGGACTGTTTATGCATCCTACACATCACTAATTTAGTCAACTGACAGCTTAAGGTTTGTTCTTAATTTGATATCATTTTCTCCAGGAATTGTTTTCTAGTATTTATACACATGTTGAAAAAATGTAAAAATTGTAGGAATTTTAGAATCACAAGACATTCAACAGAAATTGAAACTTTTTATTTGAATATCTCTTGCAAATTTTAGTATTGTAGTCATGATATATCAGTTTGTGTGTGAACACTTATTTGATTATATACTACAATACTAGTGTGGGGATAAGCCCACCTCATCTGCCAGGTTGCTCCCTAGGTATCATTCTATTCAGGATTATATAAGGAAAGTGCATTAATTCTTTCTTTCTCTTTCTACTCTGAGATGCAGTAGTGACAATATGGAACTTGTCTTTGCCTGGAGATATATTTCTCTCTTCACACCTGATGGAGGAAATGGTTTCTTTAGTCACTGACCCAAAGATGCAATAGGTAGTACTAAGTTACATGGTACTGATAACACTTTATTCTGTTCCAGCCAAAACATTCAGGTAGACAAAAAACTAATTTAAACTGCTTTAATAAAAGATAAATATCAAAATATTTTCATTAAATATTCAAGATTCTTACCTGAGGATCCAAATTACTTAATAAAGACCCTATTTTGTATACTTTAAGAGTAAAATTGCCTGCTTTCAAATCACTTGGGCCATTGTTATAAAAACTATATTGGTGTGTAATATCTTTGATGTCAGTTGCTGATTTCGATTCTTTTTTTTGACTGACCAAAATATATTGTGGTTCAGAAACTCTGGAATTAAAAAAAAAAAAAAAAAAAAAAAAAAAAAAAAAAAGGAAAATTAAATTCATAATAGTAATGTCTAATTTTTCAAGCTGCAAGTCATAATTAATTCTCACTCTGCAATATTATTGGTCTTGATCTGGTGGCTCAGTTTCAGTCACTTCCCAACTGCTATAAGGTTGCCTCTCTATGTATTTTCTATACTTTCATGGTAATTGTTCAAATGAGCTCTTTGCTATGGTACTTAGAGTTTTTGAATTTAATCACTGCACTAGACTTGCATTGAGATCTCAAGTTACAGATGAGCTGAGTAAACAGAGATGAGCCGTAAATTCTATGTTAATAGTTTCTTATCTTATACTTCTCACTTGTGGAACTCCTATCTCCATGCTTTCCAGCCAACTTTAATTAGTAAAAATTTAAATGCAATGTCAATCACTATTTACTGTCCTCCTGATTACTCTTTTCTTTAATTAGTGTTTCTCTTCCTAATTCTTCCTCACCCTGTAACCATTTGTGTTTTAGTGGCATTACTACATTGCTTGGATTGATTCTGATAAGAAAAAAAATCATTTACTAAATGAAACAATGAACAAAATTTACTTCATGATTTATTCAGTTAGCACATTTTTTACGACTGTAGTTACCACTCCATTCCATCTTACAATTGTTGTTCATGGTGACGTTCAAGGAAGACTAGTGCAATGGATTCTTGGTTCCTTTTATCCCCAGGGATGCTGAGGTTACCCTGTCTCTCTTCTCAGAAGTTAAAGAGACAAGAGCAACAAGGCAGCAGGTAGTTTGAATTCAGAGTTTTCCTGCTTGTAGAGTGGTTGCCAAACAAGGCTATAGGACCCAGTATGCCCTGCTATTTACCCATAGTGAGGAGTGAAGATGAATTCATACCTTTTCCAAGTATATTAACAATGTGAATGCAGTTGACTGGAATTCAAACTTGGCTCTCTAATTCCCCAATCTGAGTTGCAATCCATTACTCCATCATGCATCCATGTAAAATTTACTTACGATAAAAAAAAACCTTGATAAATCATGAACTGTAAAATACATTTTCTATTAAACAACAATATTAAATAAGAATGAATATTTTGAATGAAATTGTAAACTCTTTTTACAAATAGCTGTTTTTTTTTCCTCCCCTTTGATTTTGAAAAAACTCATTATCATAGTAATTGAACCCATTATATTTTGGTTGCTCTAACCAATAACCTATTTCAAGTGTACTATCCTTCTGGAAAAAGTGGGTCACTTTTGCTAGTCGATCATAATATCTAGAAGCAGCCAAAAAATATGATATATTGCTGCTGTTTTTGAAAATAGAATACTCAGCAATCTTTAACCTTTCGGCCCACAAAAAAAAAAAAAAGGTGTGCCAAAAGGACAGTTTTTTCCTTGACACCGCTATTATTCTAATTACCTTCACTCCTTAGCAATGTTTAGAATTGCAAAACACAGAAACATATGATGTGAATTTATACATTTGTTCTTTTCTTGAGAATTTACAACAAAAATATTAAACACTATTTATTAAATTGTTTATTTACAAGAATAATTTTATTTAAAACATTCTAAAAAGTAATACAATTGTATTAAAACTAATGCAATATTTATCATTTACCAATTTATAAAGAAATAAATATCAAACAATTTTTTACTCATAAATTTATAAACATTTACTAAATTATTAAAATATGTGAACCAACTATAAAGAAATCCTTATTAATGACCATTTTATAAAGCTTGAATCAATTGGCAATTAGCCAATGTTTTGCCAACCATTCAAATAAAAAATATAATAGCATAAATAAACAATCTAATAAATAGTGTTTATTTATATTCGTTGTCAATTCTTGTAATATAGCAACAACTCTAAGTAGAGGCTCATGAAGCTTTATTTGACTAATTCAACTTTATCACTGAAAACGTTTATTTTATTCTAGTGGATGGTTACAAGCAAGAGGGGAGATGGGATGTGCTTATTTTATTACCACAATTGTCAAGAACAAAGAAAATATATAAATTCACTTTCATATGCTTAGGTTTTATCGTCACTTTTTAAAATGATAAACTTTGCCAAAAAGTGAAGGTAGTTAAAATAATAGTGGTGTCAAGGGAAAAACTGTCGTTTTAACACAGTTTTTTTTGTGAGCACAAAGTTAAAGATTTCCGGATACTCATTATGACAAGCATTGTTGTGACCATTTAGTTTGTGCTAGTTTTTTTTGCTTTGTAGAAATGGAAAAATCCTCTTTTTTGTATATGGATAATATAACTGGAAAAAAGTATAGAATAATTGTCTGAAAAGTTCCAAGTACAACATGATTTAAATTTAGATTGGATGAGCTATTTTACCAGGACACCAACCCCATGGGTCATTTCATGCTGAATCAGGTAGTTTTAAGATGTTATTATTTTGTGTCTATTTTGCAGACAAATTCTTTTATAAGTTGTTATGATATAAGCAGGGATGAAAGTTGCATTTTGTAGCCAGCCATTTATTCAATTTTGAGAAAAGAGTAGAGTTTTGTTACTTTTAAGAATTCAACAATGGCTTTGGGTTCAAGTATTTCCATATATGAGGTACAGCATGAATAAAACAAAGAACAAAGTTTTCTGAACAGCTATCAATCATAAATAAAAAAAAAGAAATTAAAAAATTTTCCCAATAAAAATGGCATTATTTATTTTCATAAATAAAACAAGCATTTTTTGTAAAAATTGGGAAACAGAGGCCAAGGATAGAACACTGCAGAGGAATTAAACCAGTCATGCAGTAATTAAATATGAAACTGGAGTCATTCAACATGTAAAGAGCGTTCCAATAACTTGGACTGATTTTAATTGTGAATTAAGTTTAAACATCTAATGAATTTTTTTCTTTTTCTTTCAGATTTAACAACTTAAGACTTTGACAATTTCAACCATGGAAAGATTAACAATCAAACAACATGTTACAGTTTCAAGAATGCAATTGGAAAAATTGTTCATAAATTCAAGCAAACGGTCAGTAGCAGATGTGAAAACATCATTGTGTACTCGTTTATGCCGTTCAGCTGAAAACATTGCTGCAATGCACAAGAATGTGCTTGAAAATCTAGATTTGTCATCATGCACAGGAATTGAACCTCTGCACAACGTTACATTGTTTCCAATTGCACTCTCGCTTGGTTGATTATGTTGATCAAAAAAAATTGCAAAGTATGTGAAATGCATTTCTGTTTGAAGGTCCATTTTCATAATAGGCTTTGATAACTTTAACATGCTGTTTGATTGTTAATCTTTCCATAGTTGAAATTGCCAAAGACTTAAATTGTTAAATCTGAAAGAAAAAGAAAAATCATTAGATGTTTAAACTTAATTCACATTCAAAATTAGTACAACTTATTGAAACACACTTTACAAGCGAAATGAGCAAATAATATTAATACTTAAAAGAAAAAAAAGTTTTTGTCTTAAGAGTGCAATAAAATCGTAATGATAATTAAAAAGAAACTTACGTGTTAACACTTAAAACCGCTTTCTTCCGCATTTGAATATTTAATAAATCTTCATTGTTTTTTGGATACATTTCAAAACCCTCACTGGAGATGGAAAATTTCATTGCAAATTGACCAACGGTTTGATACACTTGTGGTATATCAAAAATCAGTTCATAATACAAAAGACCTTTGCGTAAAGGGTTATTAAAAGTGCATATTACTTTATTTCCAGTATCAGATAAATTTCTTGTAGACTCAAACTGACAACCCAGAACTTTATTTTCAGACTGGGAGTAGCTGACATAGTTGATATAATCAGGGTACACAAGAGTTCCAAATGGCTGGTAAGCAGGTTCATAACCATTCGCAATGGTAATACCAATTCGAAATTGGTGTTCACCTCCAATTAATAGAACATTATTCCTTTCTTTACCCAACCATTTTAGTCTTGTCTGCAAATCAACCGCACATAATTTATCTGCTCCACAATCATTTAGGAATGGAATCTAAAATTAAAAGAAATAAAAAATGAATTCTTTAAGAAATCTGATACTAAATAATGTAAACAAAACACAATTCAAATTTATACACTGGAAAATTTCCAGATGTTGTAAGATTCTGAGAAAATTTATATTCTTATCTGAAAATTGTCATATTCTTAGATAAGCCTTTTGATTGTCATATTCTTATCTGAACTCCTATAAGCCTTTTGATTGTCATATTCTTATCTGAACTCCTATCTTTTTGTCATATTCTTATCTGAACTCCTATAAGCCTTTCGATTGTCATATTCTTATCTGAACTCCTATAAGCCTTTTCGATTGTCATATTCTTATCTGAACTCCTATAAGCCTTTTCGATTGTCATATTCTTATCTGAACTCCTATAAGCCTTTTCGATTGTCATATTCTTATCTGAACTCCTATAAGCCTTTCCGATTGTCATATTCTTATCTGAACTCCTATAAGCCTTTTCGATTGTCATATTCTTATCTGAAGTTTAGCCTTTTCGATTGAACTTATCTGAACTGTATGCCTTTTTTGTGTAATCTGAACTCCAAGCCAATGGGATTGTCATATTCTTATCTGAACTAGCCTTTTCGATTGTCATATTCTTATCTGAACTCCTATAAGATTGTTATTTTTTGAAAGCTTGTTAAGCCTTCCGATTGTTATTTTACAGTTTATCTGAACTCTTGTATGCCTTTTTTGTAAACAACAATGGGTTATATTACACATAAGAATGTTATTTTTAAATAGTTTTCTAATTTTTTTTAAGGTTCATCCTATAAAAGGCCCAGGGTGAGGTACAGGATTACATTAAGAGGCAATTTGTATGAATAGGAGGGGAAGATAATGGCGAACCTTAGATATGAACAAGTAAAAGATTGTAGTGATTGGGGGGATATATCCTCTTGGGATTTGGTTCCAAATGGCAGTTGTTTGCAGGAAGAAATCATTTGAGTAGAATTTACTTCTCACCGATACAATACAGAGAGAATGTGGGTGGTTTGCTACTATGTAAATGGCATGGCATGTCTTTGCTATGAAGGTTTGAGCTGGCAGGACTAGAGAATGTAGCTCATCCAAGCACTTTAGCAATAAAGCAGAGAAAAGCTTGCCACATTCCACCTTTTACTGTAGAAGTCAAGCTTTTTAAAAAATATGTGATGTTAAATAACAGTTCTTCTCATACTCACTTCCAAAATGATACAAGATACTATACATTACTTAACTAATATTAACAAATAAAGTGGCAACTTGTTTTCAGAAAAAAATATTCAAACCAGTAACCTTATCTTTGTTAATTTGACCACTACATTTTAAAAACTATATTAAAAACGAGAAAGATAAAAAAATACCCTAATATCTTGAAAACTAAACTAGTGACTTTCTATCATCATAGAAAAAACCCTGAATTTTTCTTATGATGATGAACAGGTGTTCTCTCAGGGAGGTCCTGTGCCTTGAGTGTCTACTGGGACATAAACTCAACCCAGATCTCAAGTGAAACATGTACATATGATCCATTGTTAAAGCTACTGAAAAAATGGTTAATGCTCTGTACTGCTCGAGTAAGTACCTGACTCTTTCATCATCTACCTTCACAACAGCCAGATGAGACCAAAAATGAAATACTGCTGCCATATATGAGCAGGAGCTGCAGACTTTTCAAATCCAGTTTCAACAGCGTCTATAAGTGTCACTGTGTCCTTGTGGGTGATGAATTATTTTCCACCCTGCAATCGCTTTCTCACAGACAAAATGTCACAAGCCTCTCACTGTACTTTTACTATTTCCATGGAAAGTGCTCAGATGAACTACATTCCTTAGTTCCACCAGTTATAACCTTCAGGGCTAAGACCAACTATGCCAGGCACATTATAACAGGGTCTACCTGACAGGACACCTGTTCATCATTATAACGAATCACCCTTATTCTCTCTGTTTCTCATTTCCACCCAAGTAACATCCACCCACAAACAGTTGCTTTGTGGAAACAACTACCTGATTACTACAATCTTAACCAATTCATCTAGGGTTAACTATTATCTTCCTCACAAACACTCTACCTTAAGTAGCTCTTGGGCCTTGTACAGAGTGATATAGTAAAAATATAACCAAACAAAGCTACCTTACTGGGTCAAAATCATGTAGTCCACAACCCCAGACCACCGTTAAATGTGAATTCCATAATATTTTTCACAGCTATATAGTATGTTCTTCACCATGGCTACATACAGTTTTGAATTCAGTTATCCTTTTCTAGACTGGTTGCCAACCAAAAGAACCAGTTTGCACTACTATTCATAGTACGTGTTTTGTCAGGGCTACATACAGTTCTGAATTCAGAGTTTTCCTTCTTCTAGACAAGTTGCCAATCACAGCTAGAGAGCCCACTCGGCCCTGTTATTTAACCCATAGCTAGGGGGAAAGAGATGGATTCATACCTTTCACAAGGGTATTTGTGTGATAGTGAATGTAAAAACAAATTGACATGCTGATTTCTTGTTCCAAACTGTTAACCATTGCACTACCTTCATCTCCAAAAATAAATTTGCCAATCGAAAAATTCCATTAAATAATGACATTTGAGAACTTTATAGAAAATTCAGTTCACTGTTCTGAACATAAGGCATGACCTTGACATTGTAAAAACAACAGTAAAATGTCAACATTAAGTTAATTAGCCTCATAAAAAAAAGTTTGTTAAATATTTTATCTGTAAAATTTATTCAAAATTTTCAACAATATTAAAAAACATTACAAAAGAACCTATTTTTTAAGTTAAACAATTTCAGATATTTTAACTTCATAAAAATAATATAAAATGAATAAGGACTTACTTCATATTTGATAATATTTGGGTTCAGGAGATCTTGAATTGGAGATATATTCATTTCTGTTTCATTTGTTTGTACAGTAACAATTAAATTGATGACAACTGGTTTGAAAAGGTCCCTTCTTTTCTGGTGATAAAAAACATTTAAGAAATGTGGTAAATTATTGTGTAAATATCATATTTTATAGTGTATGAAAATGCAATAAAAATGATTATTTTATGCACTATATATATATATATATATATATATATATATATATATAGCTACCTCCAAAGATTCACTAAAAAATGAGCATAGATGATGAGAAAATGACCCATAACTTGATAAATACAAAGTTTTATCCTAAAAATCTTTGTTTTATTATTAAGAGGAAAGATCAAAGGATTTTTTGATTATTAAATTTTATGTTTTTTAATACTTTTTAGAACCTTCCAAATTTTGATTAAAAATCTTGTTTTTTTAGCATTAACTGAGGACCATAAATTAGTATTGAAAATTTGAGCATCTCTTTCAGAAATTCTTACAAAAATCTGATAATGTCAGAAAATGAATGAAATTATTTTTTAAAGGTTTCTTTTTTTTTTTTTTTTTTTTTTAGTAAAATTTGGTAAAAAATTTTTTTTTTTTTTAAATTGGTTACCATCCACTTATTTAATTTTATGAAATTTTGAGAAATTCATTATGTAGAGTTTAATGTTTAACTTAGTTATAAACACAAGTCCTTGGAAAAATTAAATCAATTTTTTGTGGGGAAAACAGGATCCCCAGTTATAGAAAATCTGCTCTGAATAGTAAAATAAAAAAAATGAAATAAAAGACAGACATTATTTAATTAGAAAAGCTTTTAATTGTTTTTATGAATAAAATGTTATAGACAGTATTGTCTTCTGAAAAAAAAACTTTATGAATGAGGAATTTTTTTTACAAGAATTATTTTTCATTTTTTTTTTTTTTTTTTAATTAGATTAATTTATAAAGTTTTAATTTGTTTAAATTCTGTATTAATATGTAGCAGTAACTGTATTTACTAATCAGTAACTAACAAAGGGAGGAAGAAACATAATTATAATAGGAAACTATAATATAAAACTCACTTTTATATCAGTTAGGAGCATCCATAATATTTCTAACAAAAAAAAAAAAAAAAAAAAAAATTAAAACTAATTTTGAATGTAAAACTATTTTAAATTGACATCAAGGCACTTTCACAAATTGCATCAGCATCACATTTGGCTTAAAAAAATGTTAAGATAAACCCTTCATTTGTTATTAATAACTTTAGATGCAGAATTTATTGAACGTTTTCTTACCCTTGTTTTTAACTGGTAAATTTTATGAAATTGGTTATTTAAGCCTAATTCTGTTTGAATGTAATTGTCTTCTGCTTTCTGTAGTACAGCTCTTTTTTGGTTTTCATTTTTTTCAACATCAATATATATACTGACTTCAAGATCTGCAAGAAAAGAAAAAAAATGTTTCATTTAAAAATGCAAAAAATAACATTATTATTCTAAATTTTTGATATTACCACAGAAATTGCATTTCTTTAAGATTACTTTTGAATATCAAATTGGAAATTTTCAATTCAATTTGGAAAGGAATTGCAGTTTAGGAAATGAGAAATGAAGACAGTTTCAATAAAAGCAGAAAATTGACATTTAAAATGATCACACGAACAAGAAAGCAATTTGTTTTGTTTAATCATTTCATCCCAAGTAAGACAATAAAGTCACTAAGACACAAGGGGTTACTGAGTGTAAGAGAAAAAAACATTAAGGAGAGAGAACAGTAAATGAACAGGAATTAAAGAAAACAGTAGATAACAATTGTTATTGTATTTAAATTTTTGAAGATCAAAGCAGACTGAGCAGTTTTCATATATTCTTATTAAGGAAATGATCAAAACATTTTGTTTTAATCAATTCACCTAAAGTAAAACAATAACGCCACAAAGATGCAAGGGGCTACTTGGAATGAAAAAAAAAAATGAGAAAACTTTAGAAGAAATCGGAAACACATTCTTAAACAAGAAACAAGGAATAATCCTCTATTCCTGTTCAAAAGACCAGGGAAGAGAGTGAACTGAACGATAGGCGAGCCTGTCTACTCCTATTGAGGAAAAATAAATAGTAAATAAGATTTCAGAGTTAAGGCAGAGATGTTAGAAGTAAAGAGCTGAAGTAGATTTTAGAAAAAACATGAAACCTAATCTGAAATAGGAAACAAGGAATAACCTTTACTCCTGTTCAAAAGATCAGGGAGGAGAGTGAACTAGACAATAAACAAACCTTTCTTTTTTTTTTTTTTTTAATTTTTATTATATTAAGAAGACAAAAGAGAGTTCCACAAGCAAGTCATGCACTACTCACTTGTGGAACTCTCTTCCAGATTCTTGCTTCCCAGTCAACTTTTATTTGTTGGTTAAAATTAGTAAGTCATTCTTTGTTCCAGTTTACAGCAGATTTTAGGTCATTTTAGATTTCAGCTGCCTATTTGATTTTACTCAAGTGCTCAGGTTTACCATATCAAAGCTCACAATATGTAAACATTATGGACACAATATAAAAAATTAGATCAACAGTCCAAACAATTGTTGGAAAGAAAGAATAATGTCATATATTGAAAATTTTAAATTACACAAAGACCACATTCATCTAAATGTTCTTGTGCCAAACACAAAAAGATTGAAAGAGAAAAGAGAACATGTGCTTCTTTTCCCCTTGAGGTCAAAATAGGTGCAAATTACAAAACAAGAGAAAATAAAAGGGTTACCATCAAAAAATGGTAAACAAAGTGTTACAGTTTAAGAAAAGACACAGATTCCATCTTGGATAAGAGGATAAACTACATCCAACAGAAAGGCCTCTGTTAGGGTCCCAACTATAGGCAAATAGTTACCCCCCCCCAAAAAAAAAACTGGCATCAAAACACTATGAAAATGTAAAACTTTGTAAAAAATTATTACCAGTAATAAATTTTTGAAGAAAAATTATTACCACTAATACATGATTACTAGCAATACATTTTTGAAAAAAAAAAAAAAAAATATTACCAGAAATAAAAATCTTGTTGGCATTAAATAACCCATTGAGGTTGATATGCTGTAAAACAAACCAAACCAAGACAGATTCAATGACAAAAAAGATTACACCTTTTAAAAATAAGAAAAAAAAAAAAAAAAACTTTGAGAAAGCAAAAGTGCTCAAGGCAGAAAATACAAAAGTGCACCAACCTAATTCCTTCAACCGAATACAGAATAGGAATGTCTCAGCAAAAAGTGGTTTTGTAGTTTTTAACAGGTTGTCCTTTACTTGAAAGTTCAACTTGAGTGTGTGTGTTTCATTCAAATTCTTCTTTGGAAGATGCTGAAAAAAAATTTTCTGTCTGGGGACTTGAATCTGCCTATAGCTATTGGCTCTTCTTTCTTTCCCCCATTATGATTTATGACTCCTTTGCCTAGATTAATCCTCCGGGCCTTGAAGTGTGGGAGCTTCAATGCCTTCTCCTTGACAATTGCCAACCACAGTCCTTTTATTCAAGAAAGAAAGTTCACTCCATCCACGTTTTTACAATGGCTTGAGAGCATGTCTCTCATTGGTCAGTAAATATGAAAACTTACTTTTCCATAAATTTAAAAAATGAATCTGCAACAATTCACAAAGAAATAATTTTGGTAGTTCTTCAACTGTTAATTCTAAAAGAAATTTTCACACAACTGTAACAATTTCTTTTTATAATCAATCTGATGCAAAAATACTTTTCTCAAAGTTATGTGTAAAAAAACCAAAAAAAACCCAAAAAAAAAAAACCTAGACGATTAAACATTTTTATATATAAGAACAAGCTTTATTTTCTATACAGGCTTATTAAAGCTGCAAAAAGACATTTGTTTTGAATAAAGAAAATTTATATAGAAGATAAATATCAAAATGCTATTATCTTACCAACTTTCTTGAATGCCTTTCCTAACAGATTGATGCTGACAGACAAATTCAGGCAACCATCTTTAAAAATATCTCCAAAACAATCTGTGTCCTGAGGATTTAATTCTGATGGTGAACTTTGAACTGTTGTGTTACTCTTAATCACTGGCTTTGTGTGCAATAAAACGGCCTGATCCGATAAAAAGGCACCAACAGCAAAATCTGAAAATAAAAGCATGTTATTTACATTGTTTGGACTGTTGTCCTCATCTTTATTGCCATATTCCCAATGTTTTGGCTGTTGTATACTTCGGCCTTCTTCAGGTGATACATGTTGTAGTAGAAGGATGTACTGGGCATGAAATGGGGGATCGATTTTCTAAAGTTATAATGTAATAAACTGCCCCTTCCATATATTAATAACTGGAAAGATATATGCAAAGATTCACACGTGAAACATCTAATAATAGTAAGGACTTAACAAAATAGGCTATCATTTTTTTTATGAAGGAGGCAAACTCATACACTGGTAAAATCTTTTGTCTATACTGATGAGGGATAAAAAACTATTTACACTATTTACATTGTTCAGACTGTTGTCCTCATCTTTATTGCCATATTCCTGATGATTAATATCAAAATATAATAGCAATTAAAAGACAACTAAACCAGTTTATAGGTCCTCTCTCATCAGAACGAAACTCAACAAAAAAATGTGCACATTGACTAAAACATATACAACCCTAGACTAATGTTATATACAAGCAAAGAAATTTAACATTAAAAACTAATTACCTGTAATCCCACCAATCACTCCTTCTGCTTACAAAGAGATGGTTGGTGATGTACTGTATATATTTGTGTATGAGCCAATTTCATGCATAGTATGACTCCTGAATTTTTATGAATAAATTTTAACCCCGCCAGAAAAAAAAAATATCTGTGTATAGTACAACAGGTCTCCAAAATTGAATTATTTTTAAACTCATCAAAAAATCACCTGTGTATAGTGCGACCCCTTATATTTTGCGTAAAAACTGATCATAAAAGATTGTTGTCATTGGCATCCACTCGTATCGAGATTGTCATTCTCTCTCCTTATTCTCTTTCTCCCCTCTGGTGGTGGCAAGAGGGGTGGCTGTTAAGGCCCAGCCTACTCCTAAGTGTCATGAGCAGGAGTCACAGAGTAGTGTGGATGGTTGACGCAGATGGTGCACATGGCTGGGCAAGTCGGGATCTCCTGGTAAGACGTTGCAGATTCTCTTCATATAGACAGTTGGACTTGAAAGTCTCAGTGCCCCCTTGGATGGTCCAACACCGGGAAGGCTGATTTGCAGCAACAGTTACCCAGCTATTAGGGTTGATGTTAGCCTATGTCAGGGATGTTTTTAATTGATCCTTGAAGTGTGGTTTTGGGCTTCCACGTAGCCTCTTGCAAGTTCTCCAAACAGTGAGAGTTGAGTGGGATGCATTCTTTACACATGACCTGCCCAGCAGAGGTAATGTTGAAGGATGATAGTTTCAATGCTGAGGAGAGATGTCTGTGAATGGACCTTGTTATTGGTGATGTTGTCCTCCCAACTGATTCAAAGGATCCTTAAAGACTCACTATACTCAAGTATATATGGTACACCGATTCCAAAACTTTTAAGTGATAATCATTATTAGCCTTATCTGGCTCTGATAACATGTCTGGGATATAAGATCAGGTACATTGCTGGTTTTTAATCAAATGTTCAACTCTCCCTTGCAATGGGAAGAGAGAACTCAAAACCACCAACAGAGTGCTGGGACAACTCAAGAGCGAGACAACTCAGCACCAGAAAAACAACTTTTTGTTATAACCAAATAAAAGTACTTTATTAAGGATTAAAACCAAAATTAGTGAATATTTTTCCTCAAATAAGGTATTTAAAAAGGCATTATGTAAAATATGAACCAGTTTCCTTGCTTTTAATTATTTTAAGTAAATCATAATGTAATTTGATGACAGAATTTTACAAAGTGTTTTTTCTTTTTCACAATGATCTCCCAACTGAATATTTCAGAGGAATTGCATACAATTTTAAGTAAATTTTTAAATTCAAATTTAATTACAATTCTAAAGAGTTTGAAATGTTGGCAGTGCTGAGTTATCCTGCACCCACCTTGTGAATATTGACTGGTATGTGTTGACTGATCTGTACTTGCAGCCTTTGACCCATTCTACCTACACAATCAACAATGCATTGACATCTGAAAACATATCGGCTTCTTAAGCCAACTGAACTCATCAATCCATGCTAAGCAAAAAAAAACAAAAAAAAACAGCACATTTCTGGGGACCAATCAGCCTAAGCTTACAAAATTGTTGCATTTTTTTCTCTAATGCTGGACTCCATAATATCCAAACAGCAACCATTCTTGCTTAAAACCTCCCTAATAAATTCAATTCTGGAATCAAATTTAGTTTCTGAGTATATGACTAATGCCTAATGAATTAATTTAATCAAATTGATTTTCAGCTGTTTAGAACAGAAGGAATCCAATCAGGTATATTAACCTGTAAAAGTTGGATTCAGGTACACTGATGTATGAAAACATGTATTTGAGCTGTGCACCAAGACATCAAAAAGAGGAAAAACACCCTTGGTGCCAGTTTGTTTACATTGCGCAGATCAGTACGAAAAATTCAGTGATTGTGCAGGTCAGTATTGCCAACGTTGTGTGAAAATTTTGTGTGAATTGATTGGAGGGTTTTTGAAATATTAGAAAAAAAAAGTTATCTCGATAATAATTTGGCACATAGTGTATATACAAATTGTTAGTTTTGAGTGTCATTAGAATTGGGTATTTAGCAAATTCTGGAATATCTTAGCCTGCTGGAACCAATTGTCATAAAAAGTAAATATGATTTTAGTCTATCATTTATTCAAACTGTAAAGTAATTCAGTTGTCTAACTCATCTACATAAAACTTCTTTTGCATGAAATTGGCTTTCCATTTTTTTCGTAAGTTCAAATCAAAATGCTAGAATTTTTAGCAAAGTTCCTAATGAAAAGACATGAGCCTCAAAAATTGCGATATTAATGCCTTTAAATGCAAATATTGATTTGTTTTATCAATTAACTTCAAAGTGAAAACTTTATTCTTATCAATAAATAATTCATCTCCCTCACTCAAGGTTTATTCATTTTTTTTTTTTTTTTTTTTTTAATATTCTTCATCCTGATGAAGGCCTAAGAGCCACTCAAGGTAGAGGGTTACTAAACAAGGCTGTTGTAAGTAGATAACAGTTGACCCTAGACTTGAAGAGGTTGACTGTAATGATCAGGGAAGCATCCTCATAGAGTCAATTCCATAATACATAAAGTAACTATTCTTGGCTGTCTGAATGGAACTTCTTCCTTACTAATGGAATGACGATAATTCAGACCTGTATGTATGGTATGGCAAATTTGAATGTTTATTTTCTTAGCAGTCTGTGTTTGTCTTTTTGGAATATCATTTTATATGAGAAACTTGTTTTACAGTAGTCTTTGTTAGGAGCCCAATTGATTCTGAAAAGTCTTAATTTCATAACATTGCTTCTATTATTCATTTATTTAGTATAAAATATTTTTCTGAACAAATATTTAAGTAAGAACTTGTTTAAAAAAAAAGTCAATTATTCAAATATTCCAAAATTTTTCAAGCATCTTAACTGTTTCATGTCAAGTGTCCATTATAATCTATCCACCTTATCCTCATAATCTTCACTCCCGACCATCTTCTTTTTCACTCATATCTCACCTCATTTATTATAACCATTTTAATAGTAACCCTCTACCCTGAGTGGCTCTCAAAGATTATTACTTATTTATCCTTCTCATTCATCATAACCATTTTAACAGTGACCCTCTACCCTGAGTGGCTCTCAAGGATTAATACTTATTTATCCTTCTCATTCATCATAACCATTTTAACAGTAACCCTCTACCTTGACTGATCGATCGATTAGTTTTCTACAGTTTATCAAACCTATGCAGATTATTTAAAGCCAGAAAATATTTTTAGATTGTAAGAATTTAAAAATGATAAAATATGAATATAGCAAACCTAAAGGGAATTCAAACCTCGGCTCTCCAATTAACAATTCTGCGCTGTTATTCATTACATCACTGGCACATCCAAGCTTACAGCATGTGGTATTCCCAAATGGTCACACATCTAGGTACTGACCAGGCTTGACATTGCTTAACTTTGGTGATCTTATAGGAAATAGGGTTTTAACATGATGTGGCCACAAGTCCTCTACCTTGAGTGGCTCTCAAACCTTGTATTGGGTAAACTTTTGTCTTAAAAAATAAGTACTTTGTGAAGATGTAAAAGGGGAAAAAGTTTAGTGACTTACCTAAGTAACCATTATTATCAACATCTTTTGGTCTTGAGAAAGATATTCCAAAACCCTTCAGTTCAGGGCTTAATGATTTGCCAATAATCTTCTGTCTTTTTATTTCATCAATAGATATTAAATTACCATAATAAATATAAACAGCTCCGCATCCATTCTCATAAGGAGCACCAACAGCAATATCTGCAAAAAATTTATAAAATCTTTTAAAAGACAATCTTTAGGGTCAAAGTTGAATATTATTTACATTTGGACTAATGTCTTCATCTTCATTATCACAACGTTTTGGCCATTGTTTTCTCTGGCCTTCTTCAGGTGTCTGTTGATCAGGAGATTTTGAGCTGAAAACCTTTAATGGGTGAGCTATGGAAGAAAGGAACATTCTCTTATTTGTATTTCTCCCATTATGGGCATTATTATATCCATGATACTATGACACTTTATTTTACAGATGGAACGAAATAGCTGAAATGAAAGGGATGACAAACATGCTTTGTTCTCAGAGTTTTATACCACTAAGTCATACACAAAAATATATACATATTATATTTATTCCACAGAGAGAAACTATAACATCTATGCAATAACAAGCAGAATGAAAGGGAATGGAAATATTCTTACTTGTAATAATTCCCAACAGGATTTTAAGCTTCTGGAGATTCTTCTGTGTTTCTGGAGAAGTCTTATTTAAGATTCCAGATTCAAGCAGACCAGATTTATCTGCTATATTACAAATGAGGACATATTCCTCTCAAAATAGGAATTGTTTTTTTTTTTTTTTCCAAATTGAGGACTGCAAGTTGGATATAGTTCTTACCTCTGGTGAAGATATATTTCCATAAGAAAATGGTGCATGGGCTTGTAAGCTGTGCCACATGGCAGCTGGAAGATTTAGCCTCCATTCAGGCAAGCGAAGGGCCTTGCCCATGCTGAAAAAGTAACTGCTTAGTTTGACTCCTGGAAGCTGACTGACATACTAGCCATTTTCATCATTCTATGAAGAGATGTCACTAAGTGGCTGTCATGTGACCCATGTGACTTCATCTGAGCCAAAGGAAGATGAACATCATTTGTATCCCTACACCATTATTTAATCTATAGGGGTAGATTGTTATTATCTTACTGCCAATATCCAAGAATATCTTGTTCTTATTATTGTTCACCCTATCACAAAGACAGTAGCCTAGTGGTTCATAAATTCAGTGATATAGTAATTGTAAGTTGAATCCCTTGGCCAAAGAGTACAGACTTAGTGGAAACAGGATTAGAAATACTTGAGCAGTATTAAATAAGAACAAGACAAGCTATTCCTAGGCATGAACAAGAACAATTTATCCCCATTGACTAAATAAAGGTTTCAGTTTAAAATTCCTTGAAGGTTATCTAGATCAAAAGACACTTTAAGAAGGATATTGGACACAACAGCTGAGATAATAACAACAAAGGTGATGGCATCTGTCCAAATATAATTAAGGATAAATCCTTATCATAGGTATTCAGACAAAAAAAAAAAAAAAAAAAAAAAGGTGTAGCTATTTCTAGAAAATACTGAGGTTTTAAAAAAATTAAGAGCATCAAAATGGCAGATTTTGTGCATTTCCAGTTTATTGCTGATTCTTATGTAATTTGATGAATAGAATCATATGGTGTCAATTAAAATTAATTTTGAGCAATATTGATTATAATTTATTTATTTCATTCAAATTCTTAAGTTTGAAAGACAAAGTATTATATATATATATATATATATATATATATATATATATATGAGATAATGATATATATTTGTATATATCAAGAACAGTATTGGGAAATTATATGACAAAGTGGAAAAAGTTTATTTGTGACGTGTTTTGCCCTTCAGGATTTCATCGGACTGAATTTATTATGTTGGTAGAACTACACATATGCACAACAGAGGAGTGCTGGGAATTTTAGAATGCATATAAGAGAGAGAGAGAGAGAGAGAGATATTGTAAGTGTAAGTGTTTGGAAACATCTGAAGAAATATTATTTGCTCTGATGTTTCTCTTTCTATTTCTGTGTAGATATTTTCCATTGAAATTCTATTTGTTACTTTGGTATAAAGACAGACTCTTACCGTCAATGCCATCTTGATTCAAATCTCCTATGTTTGCTACAGTTGTTCCAAAACGAGATCCAGGAATATTGTCTCCAACAAGCACAATCTTATTTTCCATAAAAGATCCCTAAAATATAATTTTACAATTATTTTTTTTTTTTCATAAAGCAAAATTTTACTGCAAAAATCTTGAGAAACAAATTTAACCAAAGCCAATAATAAAGAAAAGTTGGTAGTTTGTTGCAGACTTTTGTTTTTCATATAACAATAATCTATTATAAATATATACAACCTATTGTTAAAGATACTTTAAAAAAAAAAAAAAAAATCATCAGCTCATTCTATTGGTTCCAAAAATATCTGACTCCTTCTGCTATGTTTTAACTTTACAAGAATCAGATTACGCCAAAATTGGAATATTGCTCCTGCCTTCACACAGTTCAAAATTGTTTATCTAGTTTTTTTATTTGTTTTTTTTTGAGGGCTTGGCTGTTCTCCACCCTATAACCTTTTTCCTACAGATTGCTATTTCCATGCCAAAAGATCAGATAAGGTCTATTCTTTAGTTCTCCATATTTCAAATGTGAGGAGAAAATTCTACTGAAACATCTTTTCCCCTAAAAACTACCTATTCAATTCAAGTGTCAATTGTTATCTATCTTCCATATCATAATGTTCACTTCCTTCATTCAACATAACCATTTTACAGTAACCATCTGTTTTGAGTGGTTCTCAAGCCTGGTATTAATTGAATATTAGTATAAAAATACAATACTTTCCCCTACATTATGAAATCCTGATAATTTTTGCTGATGACTCAAATAATTCTAAAGAAAAAACAAGACCAAAGTTTAATTAGTCCTGCCGGGCCTTGTACAGGGTGAACCTTACTGTAAAAAACAAAACATGTATTGTTTGATAAACACAAATTTTGAACTGTGTCAACAAAACCTTTGAGGATTTAGTCAAATTCCATAAAGATCATTGTCTATCATATAGTTTCTTTTGTTATTGATGGAAATAAAATTTAGATTCATTTTTTTGTCATAAATTGAGTTAAGTAAAGAGGATTTCTGTTTAAGAAGATTAAAACTTTCATTTGTTCAATCACTGTATATGAAAAGCTAAAATGCAATGCAAACTTTGTTATTTGTTCCAGTCAAACCATTGTCTATAGGTAGAAAGAAATTTAATTTGCTCTTTCTTCAATTTCCTCTTCTGTTGATAGGAATATTTTTCTCTCTAACACAAAAGCTGATATTTTAAATATAAAAACAAACTAATATTTTAAAATTAAACCAAGTTTAGTCTGTGAGAAATATGATCATACCAATCCAGTACTGATTAAGATGTAAACACGTCCTTCATCGACAACATCATATTCCATTGGTGCACCAACAACTAAATCATCGTGCTCATCTCCAGAGAAATTTCCACTGGCCAAGCTGGAGCCAAAACCACCGCCATACTGAAAGATTTTGATGCAAAATTATGGCAAGTTAAAATCCTAATTCAAGTAAAAACATAAAAAATTCCTCAAATGTATCAGAATTTTGTTAATAGCAAAATTTTGTTTTCTAATAGAGATGCCGGCTTTTTACAAAAGTTATTGATCGATTCATTTTCTACAGCTTATCATCCTTTTCAGGTTATTTAAAGTCAGAAAATATTTTCATTGAGATAATAATAATTTAGTGATACCAGTCTTACTAACCCTGCCATAGCGGGGTGAAAAAAGTGGATTCATACCTAATCAGAATTTGATAAGAAATTATGTGTATACAAAGTGGGGGATCAATTCTATATTACAATTAATATATAAACTGATCCCTCACTTTATGGTCAGGTAATTTCTATAATTTAAATTCCAGAGAATGTAAATAAATCTAAAAAACATGCCTGTGTAGCTAATCAGTATTTCATTGTTGATTAGTTTTCTATAGCTTATCAAATCTTTGCAAGTTATTTAAAGTTGGAAAATATTCTTAGATTGTAAGATTTTTTTATGGAAGTGGAGTAATAATGCTTTAGTGATACAAGTCTTACTAATCAACCCATAGCTGGAGGGAGAAGAGATGGATTCATATCTTTTCCAAGAATATTTGTGTGTATAATATAATAGAATATAATAAACCCAATGTGTGGAATTGGAACTCAGTACTCTAATTAACTTGTGATTCATGGATAATTGGAGTGATATCCAATATCAGATAAGTGCCTCTTGTTGATCTTATGTTGGATACCTTACATTCTCTTCCTATTCAATTGTTTTGTTATATAAAATTGCTTTTAAGCTTTCATCTTGTGTTTGTTGTTCATTGACAACTGTTATGTATTTCAATCTGATTTTTTTTAACCTGTGTTCACATCCATATGTTGCCAGTTTGTAACCCTAGAATAAGTATTTCGTTAACTTGCATGTGCACATTTTCAAATAAAAGCATTCACAAATAAGAATTTAGTGCAAGAATAATTTTTAGAATTTATTTTTTTTTTCATTTTACCTGAGAACCTGCATAACGTCCAATAAGCATTTCTCCTGAGTAGATGAGAACCTGCAAATAATTTTAGGAAAATATTAATTCTGCTGCATGAAAAAACACAAAAATGTGAGCAATTCAAACGTTATAATTTTTATATTGCTTTCAGAAATACAAATTAACCATTAAATTTATCATAATTTATTTAGTTTCATATTTTTTTACCTCAATTTTATGCCTTTAGCTACAGATATTTTGTACATAATTTTAGACTTTCAGGGTAAAGGTATGCTTTTTAGATAAATAGTTTGTAGATCATAAAATCTATTGTTGGTGATTTTTTTTTTTTTTTAAATGTATTGCTGGTAATTTCAATACAAAAATGTATTTTTGGTAACTTTTTTTTATAAAAATGTATTGCTGGTCATTCTACTATAAAAATGTATTCTTATACTTTTTATGGTATTGTATTGGTTGTCATCCTACCATAAAAATGTATTGTTGGTCATTTTGCTATAAAAATGTATTGTTGGTAATGTTTTTTTATAAAAATATATTGCTGGCATTTTTAGTATAAAAATTTATTTTTATACTTTCCTAGTGCTTTTATTTTTATTTGGAGTTTACTATTTGTCCATAGCTGGGACCCTAACAGGTACTACCACTCCAGGTCAGGGTGAACCTGGAAACAACAGTAATTAAAAGGTAGTTCAACACTCCTCAAAACCACCAATCTCCCAATCAAAGCCATTGCTGCCGGATGTAGTTTATTGTCAAACCCAGGATGACCATTTTGTTGTGAGAGTGCTTCAAGGACATGCTCAGCAAGATTTTATGATCCAATTGGAACCCTCTACAGCATAAAAACAGTTATTCATTTTGTCTTTGTACAAAGATTCACCTAAACTTAATAAATATCTCTGAAAATGAGTTTAAACAGATAATTGCTTTCTTCCTCATTAATTTTATGCACAAATCAAATACATTCAATGCAAATGGCATGTAAATAATAAAAAGAAATGTTTATCTTCAGAAAAGGCTGATAAACATTCCCCTTCTGTTGTCCTTTGTTGTCATATTCACGACGTTTCGGCCATTGTACGCTCCGGCCTTCTTCCGGATCTTTATATATTTCTGAGATGAGGTATTGTAACTATTTGCCCTATTTACATTGTTCGGACTGTTGTCCTCATCCACATTTCATGATGTTCCAGCCTTCTTCAGGTGATATACATTGAAATTTCAAACAGAACTCTTTATTTACTCCACTGGGGTAGAGTGTTCTAGTTCCACATGCCATGCCTTTTCTGGATATTTCAGTTTCAGTTATTTCCCTTTAGCAAAACAATTCTCCAAGTTTATGTTCACCTTTGCGGTAGCCAGGGATTGAACTTACAACCCTTTGGGTCAAGTCACTGAATTACTTCAACCAATTCTTTTATCCACTCGGCCATTTGTCCTTGGGGACTATTTGATTTTAGTTTATTGGTAGGAATTTGAATTTTGTAAATTCAATTAAAAAATTAGTCAACAAGAAATGCTTAATAAAGTAAAAATAACAAAGATAGGGAGAATAGACTAGAAACAAGACAGTTTATACTTACTTTGCCAAGTCCAAATGTTGAAGGTCCTGGTCCACCAACTGCAATTTGGATTTTGTTAAAAAAGAATCTTCCACTGGTGATAGAATAACCTGAAGAAAAAAAAAAACCTTTTTCACAATTCAGTTATCAAATAGCCATTATAGGAGGAAAAAAATCATTATAGAGGAAAAAAAATAATCATAAAAGAAAAACAAACCTTTTTCACAATTCAGTTATGAAATAGCCATTATAGGAAGAAAAAAATCATTATAGAGGAAAAAAATAATTATAAAAGAAAAAAAAAACCTTTTTCACAAAAAAAAAATAGCCATTATAGGAGGAAAAATCATTATAGAGGAAAAAATAATTATAAATAAAATAGCAAATAAATATTTGCACAATTATTGATTTTGAAAAATTCATTTAAATATTGAAATTAATCCACTCATGACAATAATTAGACTTACTAGTTTTAAACCAGTGAAAATTTCATGGTTTTCTGATTTTAATTTTCTGATATATCTTATTAAGTTAATGATTGAATAAGCTCATGTGAAGTTCTATGACAATAAAAATTCTGTAGAAATTCCCATATCACATCGTTAAATATTTGAGTTGAACAACTTTAACAAAATATTGCAATAACAATAATAAATATGAATGCAGGTCATTATTTTAAGAAGTAAGGGGATACAAATGTAAAGATTTGAAATTGACAACTTTTCCATTTCATTGAAACAATTGTTAAACATTTCTATCTACTCTTCTTTCTTTCATTCTTTTCTCACTGAAACCAAGTAGTGTCTTTTCCCCACATTCCAACAGAACAAAACAGAACAGCCCATTATTTATGTATTTGTAAACTTTTTAATACATTACAGTTTCTTTGCCTTATTACTGTTAATTGGTCTTGCATATATTGTTTGCCTGCCTTATATTATTTTTTGTACTGTTTTTTACTTTCATTGTTATTGTAATTGTTTATTACAAACTTTGTCAAATCTGTTTATTGGGCAGTTCTGCTGTTTATTTACATTTAACCATGGACACTCACTCTACATTAAGAGTTCTTGATGAAAATTAAATTAAATTTTAAACTTCATAACACAAAGTGAATTACACTTTCTCATGTATAAGATAGTGAAATGGTCATGGATATACCAACTGAATTAGTACATTACAAGAATGTGAAATTCAAAGACAATATCAGTTACCACTACCTGTTACAGACTATACCATTTTTTATTCCTTCCATGTAACTCAAGTAATTCTAATTTATACACAAGAAATGAATTCAACTTTATAAACAAACCTTTGAATGACTCTTCCGAGACAAATACATTCATTAAACTAGTTAATTAAATATTGTAAACCTAAAAATCTTTTTTCATTACATTTTAATAGTCATCTTTATTACTATAAGAGTTTGTGAACGTTGCTTGTGTGTTTGCCAGAAGTCATATATAGAGAGTGGGTGAAAGAAAGATATGAATTTATTATCATGTAGGAAGCGAGGGAGAGAAGGAAATGGAGAAAAAAAAATGCTCTCTCTTTCCACCCACCTCTCTCTCTCTTTCCACCTCTCTCTCTTTTCACCCCTCTCTCTCTTTCTCTCTTTCCACCTCTCTTTCTCTTTCCACCTTCCCATGATTGTGTGCATGCTTATTTATATTTCAGCTTTCTTTAAACAAAGAATATTTTAAATATTTTTATTTCAACTTTCTTCAAACAGACAATTTTTTTAATGTTGAAAGGAATATCAATAACTGCAAATAAATGTATTCTTAAAATATCTCTACTTTCACAAACTCTTCATGAAACTAAATGTAAACAGTAGCACAAGGTTGACCCAACAGGTCACAGGTCATCTAGTTTTTAAATAAACTTTGATTTTTGATACTCACCAACCATGGAATCTTCATACTCTTCTTTGGAATAAACTTTGTGATTCTCAGAATTTGAATAATCAACAGTTGTAAAATTATCATTCAAAATATCTTTTATTACAAAGCCACCTAGAATGTAAGAAAATGAATTAAGAAAAATAAAAACATTTCATTTTAATGATTATGAAGATATGATAAATATTCTGTTTGTAAATCTTGTGTAATAAACAGTAAGAAACCTGATCCAATATGAATTAAAAGGTTGTTGGGATCAGATAACCCAGGATTTTGTTGCCGAGTGTCAAGATTCCAAACATTTAATGAAAGCACATCTTTTAATCGAAACATTAAAAAAGAGGTTATTCTCTGACAGAAAAGTAGAACAACATTTATATATTCCTTTCCGAATATACAATAGCAATAAAATGTTAAATTTTTCTTGCAGTGAAGTTTGTTTTATAAACTAAATATTCAAAGGGAGTTGTGAAATGTATGGACAGACTTACTTTATGTCAGCCGAATATGTTTGTGAGCTTGTAGACAAAAGGCCTAGTAGGTAGTTGCTGGTTAATCCCCTCTGTTATGTGCATGGACAAGGCCTTAGTCCAATATTTACATCTTTTTGACTATCGTCCTTATCTTTGTTGCAATATTTATCACAACGTTTCAGCCATTGTACACTCCTGCCTTCTTCAGGTGGTTGGAATGTCGAAATGAACCCTTTATTTCGCTCGTTGGGGTAGACTGTTCTAGTTCCACATGCCATGTCTAATGGATATCAGTTATCTCCTGTTAATTTCCCTCTCCAAGTTTTCCACTGCCTTAAACAAGTATTGAACTCACAACTCTGTCCTCAAGGACACATGACACAGTGGATAAAGGCATTAGTTAGATCCAGTGACAGGACCCAAAGAGTTGTAAGTTCAAGAAATATAGACAGATACTGAAGGCCTTAGTCGGCAGCTTCTGTCACTCTCTCTCTTCCAGTGTGTGTGTATGCGTTTGGTGGGGATGTTCACACATGTAGATATAACTGGCCTCCCAAATAGTTTTGAATCCCAAAAAGCAGTAGGCTTATATTTTTATATCTATAAGGGTATTCAAAATCTAATTTCACATAGAAGTTTTCATTGGTTATAAAATAATTTCACACTGGCTCATGAAAATCTTTTCCTCGAATTTGTAGGAGTGGTGAAGGGATTTATTATTGTTATTTTCTAAATGGTCTAAAAATAACACATGGTAGGTCTACAGCTATGTCTGCAAGTATTTGGACAGTATTTGTCCTTGTAATTATTGTTTATCTTCGTAAAATAAATGAAAAATAAAATATGGGAAGAGAGATATATTAATTATTACCTCTGCCTTGATAGATTCCTGGGGCTCCAAATAAAATATCCTTATTGTTCTGAAAATATTCAACAAGAATAAAATATTTTAAAAAAATTCATTCACTTTTGATAATCTGAATACCTTTAGTTTAAAAATAGGAACATAAATGACAATTTAAAAAAAAATTCAAAATAAAGAAAAGATAAGAAATAAAGAAAATTATCCCAAAACCAGTGACTTAAGACAGTACAAAATATCAATTTCCTAAAAAATATTCAAATAAAAACTTTAAACATGAAGAATGTGAAGGATTATTTGAATGCAAATTGTTTCTTAAATCAGATTCTTGAAGTTACAAAACTCTAGAGTCAGAATGCTGAAGGTAACAAATCAGCTAAGGGACAAACCTTTTATTTGTATTATTATATATATATATATATATATATATATATATATATATATATATATATGTGTGTGTGTGTGTGTGTGTGTGTGTGTATATAAAATAAAAAGAAAGAACAGTAAGATATATAATCTGGTGTTCTTATAGATATTTTTATTTTTACAAAATTTACAGAGCATTAATATTATCAATTAATTGATTTAAAATATGTTTTTTTTCGCTACACAGTTCTAACCATGTTTCAAAAATGGTTTTTAAATCAATTAATTTATAATATATATATAAATCAATTAATTTATAATATATATATATATATATATATATATATATATACACACACACACACACACACACTTTAGAGTCTTGTAGATGGACCCTCCAGGATTAATCCATTCACTTAAATGCCCAATATATATTTTTTTAAATAAAAAGTATTAATAATAATATATATATAACTCTGCCAACATTGTGATAACCAGATATTTTAAAAATTTAAATTACATAATGCTCAGTCTATACTCAGCCCCTGAAAATTGCATTGTGCATGAAACTCAAAGTCGTGTGGATATATATATATATATATATATATATATATATATATATATATAAATAATCTAACTGATTTCATTTAGATTTTTTTTTTCTTTTCATTCCCATCACTTTTGATATTAGATATCCCACCACAGTGTGATAATAGAAAATTTGAAAGGAATGGTGAAATTTGCACACTGGTTCTTACAACATTTCATGATTTCTCGCAGATATTCTTGTCATGCATAAATTTAACCCTGTGTTAGTTATAAAATTTTTAAAGTACTTATAATTCTAGTTGGCAACAGGTTTCTTTAGCTCCATCTCAATACTCGGATTCAGTGTGTAGCTTGCAGTATGGCACAGTTGTTGCTCAGTTTTGTAGGCAGAGAACAGGGGATTATCAAGGGTCAAGACAGTTCATTTTTTTTTTTTTTTTTTTTTTTTTAAATGGAAGAAGATTATCAATTGCAATGGTAGAAATATCAAAATTCAAAAATGTTAAACAGAAAGCTTAGATATTATTCAAAAGAAAATTCTATATTGGTCCTGACCTGGCATCATGGTTTCAATCCCTTCCCACCGTCATAATATAGCCTCCCTGTGCCTTTTCTATAAATACTTTTATAATGATTGTTTTGATAAACTTTCCGCTATGATACCAAGACTATGAATTTAAGTGCAAGTTCTCATCATTTTACAGTTGAAATAGCTATATGCAACCGTAAGTTCTATGCTACCAGTTTCTTCTATTGTACTTCTTGCTTATGGAACTACTTCTGGCTTCTTGCTTCCCACTTAGCTTTGATCTTCAAAAATTTAAATGCAATGTCAATCATTATCTTGTCTTCTTAATTCTTGTTCTTTTATTGTTCTCTCTCATTAATAGCCTATTTTTCTCATATTCTCTAACCCTCAGTAAACACTTGTATCTTAGTGATTTTATTGCCTTGGTTGGGGGGGTGAAATGATTAAATATATATTTCCACACTCAGAAACAAAAAAAATCTTGGTTAATTTGAAAGGTTATGTGAGTACATTAAATAATACCTTTGAAAACTGGGCTGATGTTCCAAATTGTGCCATTCCTTGGTAAAAAACACCGTTTTTCTTTGGTTTGTCCAATAATGGTGCCAAAATTTTATGGTCGTTTATGGAAGTGGACAAAAGATAACAAGCACCAACCATCCGAAGTTGTTTTGATACAATTTCGCACCATCTGTGAGCACAGACCTGGAAAAAAAATGTGTGTCTATATTTAAAAACTAATTTTAGCATTTAAAACAACTTTCAGATGAAAATCTAATGCCTGATGATCGTTTCAGATGACAAAATGGCCAGTGACAAACAATTTTCAAAATACAAAATACACATTGAAATTGATAAAACCTTTTTTGCCTTATTAAGAAAAAATAAACAAACAACAAGATGGATGAATGTCTTCAGATGAAATAAATTTCTAAAATATTTACAGCTCAGCATTCTCAGAATCAACATAGATATTATCATTGTCTAACCAAAATACATGTAATAAATGTCTGGCAATAGTTAACTTCTATGCCTGTTAAAAAAACAAAAAACAGTGGACAATTTTTTTCTTGACACTGCTATTACTGTATACTTTCTTGACTCTTGCAACTATATTTGTTATTTTAAAAAGCCGTTTTAAATTTTAATGACAACAAAAGTTTTATGCACTATTTACTAGTTACACCCTTATGCAAATTAATTGAATAATTGAAACAACCACTTTAGTTTCCTTTCTTTCACCATATGATCAGTTTTAGATAAAGTGTAATCAAATTCTATTTTTCCTCAGATTAGGTCATTTGCAGTAATATGAATCTATTTTTGGGGTGTATCATGAAATTTGTTTGGCTTTGAAAAATTTTGTGTCAGCCATGATTGCATCAGATTTTCTTCACACCCAGACACTATTTTCTCAACTGTCAATTAGTTGTCCTACAGCCATTGTCTGGAATGGATATTACTCCAAGGAAGCATACGAAAATTGTAATGCTGCATGACCACATTGGCAAGCCTTACCAGTGAGCAAATCAAAGTACTATACACTGGCCTGGAAACTCACCTGACTTAAATTCAACATGGACATATGAAGTACTAACATGTGCACCGAGGCATGTTTTATTGGAAAAATACGAAAAAAAAAGTAAATAACAATTATTCATTGTTTCAATTAATTTGCACAAGGGTGTAGATTGTTTATTTACAAAATTAATTTTATATTGTAGGAAAATGAAACAAAACCAATAAATAAAATAATAATACAGAATAAAAAAAAAAATAAATTATTTTCCTATGATACAAGTTATAAAGAAATTAGAAAGGGTTTCTGGTCAATTTTACGACCCCCACTTCTGGAAAGGGCAGAATCTTTCTCTTTCCAAGATTGTTCAGACATGTTTTCAGCAGCCCTACTCATGAAGTAGAAATTCAGCCATCCCAACCCAGTGCAAGGCTGACTTGAGCTCAACCATCTTTACCCATTCTTATTACTTCCCATAAATTATTTCTGAACCAAAAAGGAAAATGGGCATACTCAAGATACATTTTACTTTGTTTCAATACAGTCAACATAAAAGAATTAAATGTCTGTAGTAGAAACTAAAGGTATGCTTTTTCTATCTTCTTTGTTTATATATTGAACACACACCTTCACCTAAAAAAAATACACACAAGCTTTTAACATTCACAATATTACAAGATTATGAAAATATCTGAATATTCAAAATGATTTGCAATTTGCTGATATTTTGCCAACCTTTCCAAAGAACACAATTTGCTAGTTTCACCAATTGCATTGGTCAAGTTGCTCAGTGTCGATTCTTCATTTAAGATTTCTTCATCAGTCATCACTTGGCTGACAATAGATGATATATAAAATTAATCTTGCAAATAAATAATCTAGCAATTAAGCAGAGTGTAACATTTTTTTTATTAAAATTCTAAATATATCATTTTAAAACAATAACAATTACCAACAGAGTTGAAAAAGTATACAATGGTAGCAGTCTCAAGAAAAAAATTGTCCTTTTTATACAGTTTTTTTTTTTTTTAGTGTATAGGGTGGAAATAAGTTATGTGGGTCACATGATGGCCACTTAGTGATGTCACTTCATACAGTGACTAGAGTGGCCAGTCATTCAGTTGGTTTACAGTAGTCAAACCAAGAGGCTGCCTTCTTTAAAATGGGTCCCCCATGGCCAAAGCAGAGGCTAAATCTGTCTCCCCAATCACTTACAAGTCCATGGTGCTATTTCCTTTAAAAATATATCTTTCACATATATCGAAAAAAAACACTTAGCTTGCAGTCCTCAATTTGGGAAAACACAAGACTCGCTATTTCCCCTTTATGGAATATGTCCTTGCCTGGGACATAGATTAATCTGGCTTATTCTAATCTGGAGTCCTAAACATGGCTTCTCCAGAAACACAGAAGAATCTCCATATTATATGTAAGCCCCTATCTTTGTTTTCCTTGCACTCTGCTTTGCTGTGTAAATACATGTTATTTTTCTCTCTGTGTTAGATACATGTATATATAGTTTTGTTTAGTTTGGCTTATTTTGTTTAACAGCATATCAACCTCAATGAGTTATTTAATGCCGACAACATTTTTAGGATAGATTCGTATGAATAGAATATATATTCTTTGGTTTAGATTGGTTTGATTTATTTTGTTTTATGGCATATCAACCTCAATGGGTTATTTAATGCTGACAAAATTTTTTATTTCTGGTAATATTTTATTTTGTCAAAAATCTGTTTCTGGTAATATATTTCCTTCAAAATTGTATTGCTGGTAATAATTTTTTTTTAAATGTATTACTGGTAATAGTTAACTATTTGCCCAATTCTGGGGCCCTAACAGGTGCTACCACCCCAGGTCAGGCTGGACCTGGGAACACCAGCAATTAAGAGGTGGTTCCATGCTCCTCAAAACCTCCTCATCAGAGGCCTTGCTGCTGGACGTAGTTTAACGTCTTACCCAGGACGCTATATAGTTTTCTGTATGTCTTAGTGGTATCAAAAGGCTCTAAGAACAAAGTATGTTTATCATTCCTTTTCCTTTCAGACATTCCATTCCATCCATGAATTACAGTGTTATTCTTCCATAGCTCTCTCCTGTAGTATGAAGGTTAAACTTATATCTTAGTAGCAAATTGAAGTCCTTTGAATTTAAGAACTGTGACAAAGTTAAATTTCCAAGGTTCAGTACTGTCATTAAAATAGCATAATTTAAAAGCCTTGAATAATGCAAAAAAAAAATAAATAAATAAAAAAGACCATTAATCCAAACTAATTTAAATCAAACTAAAAATCAAGAAAAAAACAAATTGTAAGTAAGATGATATATTTAGTTGCTTTCAGTCAGTTTAGGCCTGTTCAGAATCAAAGGTTAAACACAGCAAAAGAAAGGTTGTATGAAAAATATTTTAATTTCAAAACTATATTACGGTTATGGAGTGTCAGAAGACGTGACTCAAAGTTTCTGTTAAGGGAATTTTACTGAAATTACAATTTTCTCATACCCAGCAACAAGTAATTGCCTTGAGCCTTCAACATTTTTTGTAGCTTACCTATGCGACCATCCTGGTTAATACATAAATTGTTTATCTTTGGAACTTTTGGGGTATTTACCCTTTTTATGTAAATTAACAATATTGAATATTAATGTATTTGTTTACATGTTTTTTGGGGTTTTTTTTTTGGCATCCACATGTTGTTCTTTGAAAATGTCTTTCTGCTCTTCAAGATTAATTTGTGTTGTTTCTAATAGTATTTGATTTTTTTTATAATGTGTATAAATGTAATTGTCTTTTCCTTCATTAATCTTGTTATTTGTTTAAAAATCCATTTTTTTGGTAGACAATTCCACTGACATTGTTTATGGTAACCTGTAACAGTTTTTTTTGCAATAAACTTTTTATTATTCTCCATGTGTGTCTTCTGTGTTGTGTGAGCTGCTATTGTTGTTACTCTATTCCCACCCCCAAACAATTAAATATAAGATAGAGGAAGGATGATGTCATTGCCGATAACAAAGATAAAATGAGACACATTCTAATAACAATAGAAGATTAATTTAAAAGCGAAATGAAATTTAGTCTTTTATAGAAACCATTAAAACAATTTTAGTTCACTTTTAAATAACATATGTAAATGATCAGATAATAAATCATTTTGTAAAAATTCTCTGAAAAGAAATAAATGTTTATGTTGTAACCTAGGAAAGGTTACTGAATAGAATAATCACACAAAGGCAGGTAATGAATGATACTTAAAAACAACACATGATACAAGAACAACATATATAAGATTTGCCAGCGGTGCATAGAAGAAATAGTCAACTGCTAAAAGTGAGTCCAGTGAATTCCACAATGAATCTCCAACTGCAGGATATCAACAAACCACCCCACATGGTCAGATATGGCACAAGGCTGAATTTAATGTGGAGAATCCGAGACCATAGAGTCAGCAAGAAATTCCCCATAGACCCCGTATAAAATGGGTCGAGGAGCTGTTTAACGAGACGAAACACTGCCCTTCGACACATCCTCGTCTGGGGATCCTCTCTGAATGGAGGCAGAGAGTTTGACCAGCACAGCTGGAGACAAATCTCCAACTGCCCAGATATACTCCAGTTTTGGTCTGAATCTGACTCTTGTAAAGATCAAGTATAGCAGGTATAATCAGGAACTTTCTGGAATGGATCATTTTCCAAGCATCTTTAATGATGAATCATATATATGAGTTTCACTAGAATTCTGGAGTAAACATTCAAAGTAAGGAGCCTTTTTGTGAGTGCAACAATTCATCACAACTAGAGAGAATTTAAGGCTTATGACCACACCATATTGAAGCACCAGTTCCTGTATGCTCACCAAAATTAAGCAATGTTGTGCCTGATCAAAACCTAGATGGGTGACTGCTTTGGAATACCAGGTGCTGTAAGTTTGGATGTGTGGATGGTGTAATGGATAATGGCTCAGAATTGTTAAGTTCCAATTCTCATTGTATTCTTTATATTCAGTTATGTGTAAATACCCTTGGTATGAATCCACCTCTTCTTCCCCCAGCCATGGGTTAACTTTTTAAACTTTATTAAAAAAAAAAAAAAAAATTCTCACAATCTAAAAATATTTTCTACCTTTAAATAACTGTCAAAGGTTGAATAAGCTGTAGAAAATGAATCGGTTAATCATGGCCAAATATAAGGTTTACTGTATTATGGTGGAAAATGACGAGCTTGGTTTTGTAAGCATTGACACTTAGTTAAATTAATTATGCTACTTATTTTCTAGGGAGAATTCTTTGAAATACTTACAATAAACTTTCCTGCTTGCTCATTAACATCCATAGCAACTCCAAGCCATTGCTTTTCATCATATGATTGTGTATCTGCGGAAGAATCACCTGGGAATGGTAAAAAAAAAAAAAAAAATTTTTTTTTAAAATAGAAGATAATTTTCGTTTTTTGCACAACTGATAAAATTTTAATTATCCTCTCAAAATTTTGGAAAATATTTTCCATGGAATAAATTAAATTTTTAAATGTATAATACTTGAGTAATTATTTGGCTCAGGAAAACAAGCAAATGATAACAAATAAAAAGATCTTACATGTTTTCATTTAATTCTACAATATTATGTGATCAGGATAAAAATGAACCTCCCAGATATCTCAACTTTGTATAGAGATACAGAACATATTCCTTAGATATTGGAGAGGAAGAAAAAGTCTTATATACAATCAAATATAATATTTTATATTAGCACACCTCGAATTATTAATTACTGTTTCTGTGCTATCAAAATGTTAGAAAGTTTTAACAGTGAGATGCAATGAAACAAAAGTTTTGAAACAATATATTTAAATTCAATAAAAAGGAGATTCAGAATTCACAACTAAAATAGAAGCCAATGAACCATTTAATTAATCCGTTCCCTTTATATTTTTTAAAATGTTCAATTGCATCTATGATTCATTGATTATGGTTAGTATTATATAAATCACTTTTTGCTCAATATCTTTCAGGTTAAAAATTTAATGTGTTTAATATAACTGACTCAAAAAAATGGAACACCTCTCAAAAGAAAAAGATTAGCAACAGAACCACAAAGACAGTGATAACAAAACCTATCTCAAGACAAAGTTGAAACATGATGATTACTTAGTAGGCAAAAGTATTCAAGTGCCTTGCAAGAAAGATTTGAACAAATAAGACTGCAGTTTATGAAACTTAATAGTAAAGAAACAGATTAATTAAATGGTTTATTTTGATTGGAAACTAATTGTCTAAAAGATAAAGATTATTAAAATGGCTGAGGAAAGTAACCACTCATAAATTTACTACTTGAAGTTGATTTACCTCCCTTTCCACTACAGGGTGTGACATGAAAGATATAAATAAATGTACAATGATAATTATTATATAGTAGCTAATTTTTCCATTTATTTCTCTACAAAGTTTTTAAACTAAATTAATTAAAAGTTGATATAATGGAATAACCTGTCACCCCCATGAGTGACTAAACTATAGGTAATAACTTCCTATAAGTATCTGTAAGGCAACAGACTATAGGAGACTTGCTGGGATCTGTTCCAGCAAGACGGTTGAACTCTCTGCCATCGGGCAGAGAGGAACCTGGATGAGGCTCTACCGAAGGGCAGGGTCTCGTTTGGGGAGGTTGACCAACGCGATTCTGTTTTTACAGTTTCTACAGGCATTTTTTGGCTGAGCCAATGGGCTCGGATAACCCACGTAAAACTCGGCTTTGTGCCACATCTTTCCCTCGTGGGTGGGGCAAGTAAATATTGACTAGCTGGGATCTATTGAGTACAACTCAGATTTACGCGAGAACTACCAACCTTCCAATAGTAGCACTCACTACTGGATTGACTTGCGATGACCATGCGCATAACTGTTACCTTATTTCTTATTGTACTGGTTTTACAATAAAACCTTTACTTATTTATCCACCATACTTATCAAGTATATATTCCTATTAGCATGGAATATAAAAGTATAAATTTTAATTATATTAAAGCATAAACTTTAAAAACTGATTAATATTTTAAACAGTTGATTTGAGTATTATTGGGATGAGGAATTATCATTATTTGCAATAGTTACATGTGGACTATTGTAGGTTAACAGGATTGATATACACCTGATGAATAGTCCATATGTAAATAGTTGCTTTGAGATGTTGCACTTAATCTTCTGTAGGATGATGCTGATAGCAGCAAAGTCTAACAGTATATTCCGATTAACTTTGAAAAGATTTCTTTATAATTTTTTTTTTTTTTTGTGGCTGGATAGAAGTTTTTATTTCTATTGAATTAAATTTCTCATGCTATTTTGTTGTTAGAATGATATTTTTAATTCCAGGTCAACAGTCCCTCTTTTTTAGCATTGCAGATTCAATTAAAATTCCAACTTAGAAATTGGGGTCAACTTTTAAAGCTTCTATCCAAATGAAAGTAAAGAATGATTTAGTTCAATGACTTAGGAAAACAACGCATATATACATATATGTGTACACATGTATATACATGCACACACATGTGTACGTGTCTGTGTGTGTGTGTGTAAATAAGGAACACACTGGAAAATTTTTATGAATTCATCAGAATTTTTTAGCTTCATTAAAATTTTCTAAAGTTTAATAAGTAGAAAAATATTAAATTTATGAAGATCTTCCAACTTGTTCATAGAATAACCCTTCTGTGAATTAATCCATATTTTCAACTATATTATATTACATTATATATTATATATATATATATATATATATATGCAAATAAAAATACACACAAAAAAATAATGTTTGAAAGAATAGGAACATTAAAAAAATTTTATCATTTAATCACTAGTTTATTAATAACAAAACACAAGCACAAGTGTACATGTGCTTATGTATGTGCATTTGTGTACACATGTGTATATCTATATGTATGTGTGTGTATGTGTAAAGCAAACACAAGTGTATATATGCTTGTGTGTGTGTGTGTGTGTGTGTGTGTGTAAATATATATGTGGGGGGGGATTTAGCCAGCAATCCTTCATTTAAGGATGTTTCATTAAAAATGACAGGCAAGGTACTACGATTAAGCTTTTTATCTAATTTTTCTTGTGTTCGAACAAGTGTTTTCTTTTTTCTGTATACAACGTGTGTAGAAACTGTGCAAATGTTCTATTATTCAGAGTGCTTTCAGCTATACTTTTAGCCATTATCAAGGATGATTTTATTTTTTCAGTTTAATTGAGTGTGTGGGTTGTGTGTGGGTTGTGTGTATGTTTTTAGTGTTATAGAAATGTTTTATTTTCCAAACACAGCACATTGTGGCTGTGTTTGTAGTTAATAAAGAAAAAGCCAACACTTAATAATATTAACTATGAAAATCATTATCCTTGATAATGGCTGAAAGTGTAGCTGAAAGCACTTGAAATTATAGAACATTTACAGTCTGTGTCCAAAGAAGAAAACACTTGTTTGAACACAAGAGAAATTAAATAAAATCTTAATCGTAATACCTTGTCTGTCATTTTTAATGAAACACACATACACACATATATATGTGTGTGTCTGTGTGTGTAAAGCTGACACAAGTATACATGAGCTTGTGTATGAGCATTTGTATGTGTATATAGCTGCACATGTGTACATATATATGCAAGTGTGGTGTGTGTGTATGCAAATGAATGAATACAGGCATATGCACACAAATTCAAACAATAAGTAATATTTTAATTATAAACCTAACCTCCTACAATTAACACCGTAATAGTACTTAAGATACCACCAAACCAGAAAAGAAAAAATAATAGCAAGATGAAGACATAAATATTAACTTTATCATTTAAACAATTAATTTAATTATTTATGTAAAAAAATGAAATAAAACTTTTCTACATCAAGAAAAGACTCAAATGCTCAAAAATTAAAAATGTCAGCCTGTCTAGAAAAACAACAGAAGCTAAATGGCAACAAATAGCAACAATTGTCAAGTGGTAAACAAAAACAAAAACAAAACACAAAAAGCAACAAAAAGGACAAATAATCACGACACCCAACACATATGCACAGTTGGTTGAAAGCGCACAAACTCACACAACACTATTAAAAAAAAAAAAAAAAAAAAAAAATTACACTAATAAGTGAGTATAAAAAAGAAAAAATATCAAGACATATAAGCAATCAATTGGTAATACCTCCCAACAACAAGTGGACAGACGTGTCCGTCTACAAAACTCTGGAGTCAGGATGCTGAAGTGACAAACTTTTACTTGTATTTATATATATAATATTATATATATAAAAAATGGCATTCCAATTATAATGGAAAAAGGCAGGTAATATTTATGAATCTATTCTACTTATTTTCTTTTCAGTTTGAGAATGGAAACAAATCATTTTATAATATCAAGAATTAAACCATCGAGAGAATTTAATAGAAAACATTTATTAATGATATTTCCAGATTGAAATTCTGTTCTTATCATATTTCTGTTATGAAGTTTGATGCTTTTTGACTCTAGTGTCATCAGCAGTGTTATGGTTTCTTAGCCATATTTGAACTGAATTGCTGAAGTCCCAAAGATCCAATGGAACACTTGTCGGAGTTAACTCCTCCTTCAGTTTGTAACCCTTTCACCAGGGGTCGCTCTTCACTGCTATAAATAGCCGCTGACCCTTCACCTCTTTCTCTCTTTTTCCCCCTCACGCCTTTGCGTGGACACCTGGAGGTAAATTTTTTTTTAAATCTTGCAGCTATCAACCTCGAAATGTAGGTGCTAACAAGGGATAGCATTTCCCAAATGCTGGGAGAGCGCTAAGCACAATACACACACACACATACATACAGAATATTCACACACACTTCGTCCTTTGTACTCTTTCCATGTATTGTAACTTGTTATTAATATATATTTGTATATACATATATTATCGGTCTTGTGTTTTGTTTGTTTTCTTTGCCTTCTATCTTTGGACTTAAAGTCCAACCTTTTTATGTAGTTGGGCCCGGCGAGCAGGAAAAATCTGAACCTTACATGCGTTTCTTCTATGTCTGACTCCACAACATCACAGCCACGGCCCACTACACACTTATCAAATTTATGAATAGAAGATTTGCCACATTTTTAACTTCAGGATGATTTCTTTTGTCAAAATAAATTATGTTCATCATAGAACACACTCTTTCAGCCCCTGCACAACTTACAGCAATGGTATTAATTATATTTTTAGCTATTATATATCAGCTACTACTATATAAGATTATTTTTGAATAGTCCAACAACCAGTGAGCTAAATTTTTATAATTTAAAAATCAGTTCATGTAAACTGGTAGGATGTCATCACTGCATAAATACATTCATATACAGGGTTCAATGTGCTGCTAGACATTTGTACCAGAAGATCCAATACAAACATTTTAGAGTGTTTGGGTGTCAATCTGAAGACAATGCAGAGAATTCGAAAAAGAGTTGAATGAGTCTAATGGTGATTACTAAGGTATGGCAGCTTAGAAAATTTACTCTAATCATTTTGATAAGAAAGGAACTCCATTCATCTTCCTACAGGGCCTCAAACTCAACACGAAGGTCTACATCAAGTGCCTTGAGGAGGTAGTGCTGCCCTGGATCAAGAGGGTGGCTGCTGGAAGACCCTATGTCTGGCAACAGGACTCTGCACCATGCCACACAAGCAGGAGAACCCAGTGATGCCTGTCAGACAATTTCTGCAACCACATCACCTTATATCTGGCTACCTATCTCCCCAGACAGTAACTCCCTTGATTATCATATGTGAGGCACATTTGAGAGAGAGACTAACAAAACTCCTTGTAACACCAAAGATAAACTAAAGGCAAGGATTATGGCAGTATTCCCCAACTTAAACAAGGAGACTGTCCAGGAGAGTTGCAGGAGATTCCAAAATCATCTGGAGGCATGTTTGAATGCAATGGTGATTTTATTGAATAAATATACTGTACTATTTCAAGATATTTTTGTGTAATTTTCATAAAATGAGATGTTGGTGTTATTTTCATTTTTGTGTCATTTAGATGACAATTTATCCATTGCAATATATATATATATATATATATATATATATATATATATATATATATATATATAAAAAAAAATTGACAAAAGTATTAAGAATTTTTGTCTGAAATTCTGGGAATTTGTATTTGGACTATTGTCCCCATCAATAGCCTAATAGATTAAAGCATTGTTTAATAAATTTGGTGTCATAGTAATTATAAGTTCAGTCCCTCAGTTGGGAAATGTGTACTTAGATTCAGTGGAAATGAGCAAGCAATAATTGAATAATATTAAAAAATAAGAACTAGACAATATCCCTAGACATGGGCAGTAAAATGAGAACAGACTATCCCTGTAGATTAAATAAAGGGTTCGGTTGAAAATTCCCTATAGCTTACCCAGATCAATAGACACATGATGATGACTGAAGGGCACAATAGCCAAAAGAGTTGAAGTTTCTGGGAAAGATGGCTTAGAAAATTTGACACTCACAGGACATATTGAAGGCAAGAGGTACGGAGGAAAGCAGTGCATAACCTTTCTAACAAAAATGTGTAAATAGTTGGCAGAACAGGTATTAGGTGAGATAGCAAAAATCAAACTTTACTAAGAGCTACAAAGAACAGGAAGTTGTGGAGAGTCATGATCAGACGTCATTTTTTGACATGGCACAGAAGAAATTATAATCTGCTATAGTCAGAAATAGCACAATGTATGTATAGGATAAATATTCCTGTCTTATAATATCAACTGACTTTTCTGTCAATCCCAATATTGTGAGAAATTTGGAAGACTCAAAACGAAATGAGGAGAAAAAAAGTAAGCCAGATGACCAGTAAAGTTGGTACTACTCAACAAAGTTAATGGAGCAAGCACCTGAGGAATAAGAGGAGAAACAGAGACAGGAAAGAAAGACTGAAGAGGACATGAAGAATGGTTGAAATAGTAATGAAAGTTATAGAATGTCAGGGAGACTATATAAACATGCAAAATAACAAAATAAAAATTTATCAGGTACATCGTAAGAGTAACATTAGCTGTTTCCTTACAGTATTGTTTTTGGTTGAAATTTATGTTCCATGTTCAAAGAAGAATGATCTTTGCCAAGAGCCTCTGGCTTTATTCTCTCAAAGCTTTTTTTCACCATTGATCTTAGGAAGTGGATCTATACAGCTGATAGTTTAGATATTTCTGAATGAGTTTGACACCATGCATGAGATTCACATAAAAGTCTTGATCTGACGTGGCTATTTAAGAACATGACTCAAGTTTTCAGGTTGATCTTTTGGTTTTGTGGCAATTTGCGGTGTTGGATGAAACTACTTCTGATGCAGCCTATTCTATATTCAATTTCCTTTTCTCCTATATTTAATTTGTTATAGCTGATCCATATGCTGAAGTATCTGAAGTGTTTAGTATTTACTACTTTCACATCCTGTATTTTTATGATAGATTCAGGGTACATGCCATCATTGCTTTCATTCCAATTCCAGATAACTTACCTCTGACTTTTGAATTTATTTATAAATAAAATTGTATGTTGCACTTTGCATAATAAAACCTGAATCTAGAAAACAAGATATCCCTTAAATGATACAATCTTTTTCAATCTCCAAAGCCAATGTTAAATAATAGTTTCAAACTATTATTTTTTAGTGATAGTGTATTTGGCTCAGACCTTCTGGGGCTGACCTTTAAGGTCAGCTGGTAGACAACATAGGGATATCAATTTGGATTGGCTGAGTTGAACATGGGTATGTTAGTGTTTTGAGGAGTTAAATTTTACGTACCGAAGAATGCAGACATGTTAATTTTGTGTGCAGAAACTTCTCCTCAGTGGGGTGGGATAGCAACCCCACTGGCTAGTAAAAAATATGTACATGTCGAAGTGTTTAATAAAATAGATAAGTTCAAAATTTCCTTTGTCAATTTCCCATTTGTTTCCAAACTAAAAACAAAAAAAAAACAAAAAAAAAAAACAAAAAAACAAACTAGCAATCACCTGACCAGGAGAAGACAGCTGAGAGAGAAGAATGCAGCTTTGTTATGGAATCAACCCTGTTGACTAAAAGACTTCTCCAGAAGAAGAGTGAGTATGCAACACCAGTTATTATCAATATTTTTAATAAGAATAGACATTATAAGATGAAACTCAAAGAATATATTACTCATAAAAATGTAACGTGGAAGATTTATCAACATAGGTTAGTTAGTAACAATTTTATTATGAAAACCTTAACAAATAGCATCTTACAGACAGACTGACAGACAACACCATCACAAATACCTAATGTTGCATGGTATTGAATGGTTACTTACCCCTCCTCCATGTGTACAGTGTGGCGTTTGAACAGCCCACAAAATGTTTTTCCTTAATATTTAGCAAGGGGCAAGTCAGATTTTCATGATTAGCCAAGTAGTTCTCCGAATACCCCTGTCAAGTAACTATAATGAGTTTTTGGTTTTAAACATTTGTGTGAATTACAAGCACATGACCGTGAAGTAAAAACTGTCGGTAATAATTGCGGTAGGAAAGTATGCAATGATTACGGTAAGCTTTATTGTAAAAGTGAATGAAAAGAAGGAACCAGAAACCAGGTCAAGTGGGAAACAAAGGATAAACCTCTACTCCTGCTCAAAAGACCAGGAAGGAGTGTGAACTGAGCAATAGATGAACCTGTCTACTTCTATTGAAAAAATAATAATAATGAATAAAATTTCACAGTTTAGGCAGACACTTTAGAAATAGACTTACAATTTTTTTTTTTTTTTTGATCATTTCATCACAAACAAGGTGATAATACGATTAAGATGTAAGGGGCTACTTCGATTGAAAGTGAATGAATAAACTTTAGGAGGAACCAGAAACCCAATCCTAAACAGGAAACCGGCTACTCCTGTTCAAAAAATCATTTGAACCAAATAATATGCATATTTTTTTATTGACATTTTAATTTTTCAAAGTAAATTTTTTTGTCTTTTCATTTTTATTTCTCTTATAAAAACCAGACAGAACAATATGTAACAAGAAAATTAAGGACTAAATGATATATTGAAAATCTTTTAAATGACATGGTTGAGAATCCTGTGGTACTAATATATTGTAGCAATGACCCCCACAGTGCTAACAGAAAGTTGAAAAGAAAAAAATAAGTCTAAAGTTTATTTATTCAGTAACAGAAGTTATGATTTGGGGAATTAATCTATTTTTAAATGTAAATATTTAATCTATAACAGAAGTGTGTTTACTGACCTGAAAGAGCCACCTGTGTAGTACATTTCTGATATTTCTCTGTAGATTCTTGACCTGAGATTTGACACTCAAACAACATTCCACCAGAATTTCCATTAGCATCAAACTTTGGTGCTGCAATCATTAGGCTGTGAGAAAAAAAAACAAAAATTAGAAATAAATGCTTTTGGGATTCCAAAGGCCTAAACTAAGAAGCAACAAAATTTGATTGAGACTTATAAACTTGGCCTTGCAATGACATAATGAACTCTGTTTGCTATAGGAACTTGCATTTAAGAATTTTATATTCAAGAAAGAAAAATGTTTTTAGAAAAAAGAAAAAAAAAAAAAAACTTTAAAATATGCCTGTATCACTTGCTAAATCAGCAACTCATAATTGCAAATTAATTGTTATATTCTGGGAGTTTTAGCCAAATTCTTCTCATAGATTTTTTATCATCAAATTATAATTATTGACATTTCTGTTGATATTCAATTATTAAATAATCATTGAAACCTCTTTTTTATTTTCATTTAAAGCAATTTTCTCCCCCCCCCTCTCAGACAAGGAAAATTTAATTAATTTCTTATTTATATTTCCCAGCATTCTTACATTTTTCTGTTTGCTGGGAGTAAGGGGCACACAAATTGTCCATTGTCACAAGTGCTTTCAACCACTTCTTCAGCCATTTTCAAAGAGGTGTGTTTCAGGTGTTGTTAATTTCTCTTCATGGTTAATCAGGCTTCACATGCTTTTGACTTGTTAAACAATGTTAGCATAATTTATAGCATTCCAAATTCAATGAGAGACGACAAATCTCTTTGAACCCCCAAGAAATTAATGTAATCGAAACCTAACTGAAAAAAACTGTAAATGAAATATATTGGCAAGTACGTGAATGTCTCCTTGAGTTTGGAACAAAACAGACTGTCAGTACATGGTGTTGACCTCAATATCCACATATGCTCTATCCATAGTATTGTATACTTTAACACATAAATACAGCATAGCTTAAAATGCTCTCTTTCTCTCATATATTTAAATGCATATTATGCAACAGATACTTGCCTATTTGCATTCTAGTAGAGCAGTGGTAAAAGAACCACTCAAGCAGTGTGCCGTCAATTATAATGATGCATTTTTTTTTTCCATTTTACTTAGTGCTCACTTTAGTTCACCATCTCAGAGTTCTTGAGGCTGTTTATATTATGTTTCATCAGCCGACTCTACGTAAACAAAAGGAACATTTCATTTGTTCCTTACATTTCATCAAGGGATTATGTGTAACTTTTTCCATTTTATTTAGTGCTCACTTCAGTTCACCATCTCAGAGTTCTTGAGGCTGTTTATATTACATCAAGGGATTATGTGTAACTTTTTCCATTTTATACTCTTTGTGAAACCTTGTATTTTGTTTTTAGTGATTAATTTATTTATAATTAAAATCTATTTTAATAGTGTTCCAATTTTCCCTCCTCATTCATTATTTACTAATGTATTTTGTGATTGTTACGTGTTGCTTGCCAATGCTCACCTTTTGAGAAAATGCTGGCCAAAATAGTCCCCTCAAGGTTAAATAACGACATCCATTCTATTTAAATAGAAATAGAAATGTATATTTTGGAAGCAACCTTTCTTTTAAACATCTTTCATTAAATATGACAGACAAGGAAAATATTTTCCAGGTTATTACATTTTCCCATTTGTTGGGAGTAAGGGAGCATAAAAATTGTCCATATTGTTCATTGTCAAGCCATGCTCAACAGGCAAAAGCTCTGAATAAATGCTTCTACTAGTATTCAAAACACAAAAATACATCTTAAACAGCCATGTTTAAGATAAATTATGATAAAAAATATGAAAATAAAAATATTAAAATTGAATTTAATTAATCCTCAAACCAACATTATATTACTGGTAATACTAGTATAATACTTATTGTATACCTACTTTTGCAGTATGTATGCATTTATGTACACACAAATGCTTAGGTGTCTAAAAGTGGGGAGGGACATTTATTAATTTAATTTTTTATTTTTGAGAAAATTTTCTGACCCCACCCAGAGTTTATTAATTTCATACTTTTCCCCAGAGCTCAAAGAGGAAACAGTAATTATTGTTAGTTCAAATTTTTGCTTATATGCTTTTACAACTGCCTTTTTTAAAAATAGTTTTCTATTGTTTTGTTTTTCATTCTTTCTAGAATTACCATGTCCCATTCTTTGATAGACATAATGTATTTTAAAAAGCAAAAATTGTTTCCTTAAGTAATCATAATACCTCATCTCAGAGATATAGACAGAAAAAAATGTTTCTTTGCTTAAAGTATAATTTTTTGATCTATTAAATCATTTTTCAGCTTAACCTTTAAGACAACCATATATTCCATATTAAGAAAAATTCAAAACTGCCATCTTATTTGAAAACCATAAGAGTACATATACACTATTGTTCAAAAGTTTGAGGAAATTCCTTGTATTTTTTTAAATTAGCCCCAAAAGTATTTGTTTTGTACTTTGAATAAGAGAAAAATATCATACATGGTTAAAAAAAGAAAAAGAATTTTTTTCATTAGAAATTTTATTATGACAGAAAATCATTTTATGATTAAATTTTGTTCTTGTCAAAATATCCTTCTTCAGCCTTGATTACTCCAGCACAAATTTTTGGTATTTGTTGCAAAAGTTTCTCAAAGAATAAGTTTGATAATTGATTCCGTTCTTTTTTCAATGACTCTAAGAACTCTTTTTTTTCCCCACTGTCAAGTTCATCCAATGATAATTCTTGGTGAGGCTTCAAACTTTTGAACTGTACTGTATGTTTAAAATTTGATTATATTTTAATGCCTCCAAAACAAAACTACTTTCATTTAATCACCACGGAGAACCTTTCTGCCAGTCTGACTGATGACTGATGTTAAACTCCAGGAGAGTAACACTCTACACCTTCTTGGCCTCACATTTTCCATTGACATGAAGTGGAGAGACTATATTGAATCAATTGCTACATCTACTGCGAGGAAAGTTGGTTCACTGTGTCAGGCCAAAAAATTCTTCTTGTCAGAATCCATCTTGCACATTTATAAATCTATCATTTGTCCATATATTGAATACTGTTGCCATATCTGGTCTGGTGCTCCTGGTGTACATCTCAAGATTCTTGACAAAATCCAGAGAAGGGTCTGTAAACAAACAAACCTGACTAGGCATCCTATCTCTTGCCACTTTCTGACCAAAATGACATAGCTTCCCTCTGAATATTTTCATGGTTTTTTCCTTGGCGCTCAGACTACATGAATTTAAGTGTGCTACTAGATTGGCAACTAAGTCTCACCATTTTATTGTTGAACTAATTAGATGCAACCTGCCACTTTTACTCTAACAGTTTCTTTTCTCACACTTCCCACCTGTGCAACTCTTGATTTCTTGGTTCCCTGATAACTACATTCTTTAAAAAAAAAAAGTCCACCATCTTTTGTCTTCTTGAACCCTGTTTGATTTTTGTCCTTTCATCAATTCTCCCCACTCTCTATCTCCTCATTCTCTTTCAATCCCTGTAACCACCTGCATTCTAGTAGTATTACCACCTTCCTTGGGGTGAAATGAAATGATTAAAAAAAAAAAAAAAAAAAAAAAAAAGAATATATTGACAGAAGAATGCTCAATATCAATTAACTCATAGCTGGGGGAGAAGAGATGGATTCATAATTTTACCAAGTTTGTGCACAAGTGAATCTAACAAAACCAACAGAAATTGGAACCTGACTCTCCGATTAACAATTCCAAACCATTATCCATTACTCCATCCAAATATCCTAGCTTACAGCATGTGGTATCCCAAGTGATCAACCATCGAGGTACTGACCAGACTCAATATTGCTTAACTTTGGTGATCATGTGGGAACTGGTGTTTCAATATGATGTAGCTGTAAGCCATCTTAGAAAATAACTTAATTTGAGTCTCTTTCATTTAGTAACACCAGTTTAATTCCAATACTTCCAAAATTAAGCCCATTAATTTTCAAGCAGGCCTGGAATTATTTCCAGTGAGGATGGATAGAGACACAAACAAAGAGGATCTTTGTTTTGAATGTCTATAGAGACTCGAGTTCACCCCAAAACTCAAGTGTAACTTGTATATACAATCCATCTCTAGAGATGCTGGAAAAATGCTTGTTCCTTGTGCCGCTGCAAAAAATTCCTGATGATACCTACCATACTCGATCTTTACAAGAGTCAGATTCAGAGCAAAACTGGAGTATTGCTGACATATCTGGGCTAGAGCTGACCAGTCCTCTCTTTCCAGACATGATAGAGTTCAAAAGCATCACAGCCTTGTGGGTGATGAATTATTTTCCATTCTACAAAACCTTTCTTGCAAATGAAATGTCACAAGTCTCTTGCTAGTTAAAGGCAATTTCCATGGCAAATGTTCTGACAAGCGGCATTCTTTAGTTATATAAGTTCAAACCTTTACATAAAAAACCCACCATGTTATTTACACAAATCAAATCAAATTCCCTTTCATTTTCCATTGGTAAGAATGAATATGACCATAAGCCAAGACTCATTCTTGCTCTTAAATGTTATAGTAGGCTTAAATATTTTTGGTTCAACATGTCAAGCAAAAAATTCAACGTCATTTTACAGATAATTTAATTTGTAAGGCAGTAAAGTGGCTAAAACACAAGAGGTTACTGAGTGTGGAAGAATTAGAAAACAGAAACGTTACTAAAGAACAAGAACAAAAGCAGAGAAATCAGGACGAGAGTAGATAGCAATTAACATTGCATTTGAATTCTGGCAGATTAAAATTGGCTGGAAAGCAGGAAAACAGAAGGATTTCCACCATCAAAAAGTGCAAGACAAGAAACTTAGCTTAGAATTTACGGTTACATCTAATCATATGAAATCTAAGTTTATGGAGATCTCAATGCTAGTCAAGTACCATTCTTAAATTCAAAAAGTCTATGTTGTATAGCAAAATCATCCAAACAATTACCATGAAAGTATTTATAAAAAAGGCACAGGGAGGAAACTTTATGGCAATGGGAAAGTGACTGAAACCAAGATGCCAGATCAAGACCAATAATATTGCTGACTCTGTATTTTACCAAGGAGCTTTAGATAAATAACAGTCTATATGTGGCAAAAATTTTCTAAGTATGGATGAATAGTAGACATATAGATACACAAGATACATGATTGCCTAAGTGTGTATCATGCATGGCACATAACTGACTGATGTGAAACTGATATGAATGTGAATAAATATTTTCATGGCAGTTGTTCTCATGAGTTATCCTTGGTACCTTGACTGCATTAATTAAAATTTACTACTAGATTGTATTAGGTCTCACGGTTTTACGGTTGAAACAGCAATATGGAATTGTAACTTTTAATAGTTTTTTTTTTTGTACTTGTCACCTATGGAACTGTTCCACTTTTATGATTCCATGTCACCTAAAAACATAAAAAAAAATTAAATGAAATATCAGTTGCCATCTACAGTGTTCCTGAATCCTGTAATTTTTTGCTTTTCTCCTCATTAAGATTTTTCATTCAATTCCACTCCCAGTAACCCTTTGTATCTTAGTGGCATAATGGTATTGCTTGGGGTGAAATGGTTAACAAAAAACATACTTGCCTGTCCAACCATGGCCTATTTATTTGGCCCAGAATGGCAGGCTGAATGTCTACAAGTATGCAGCCAGAGGAGCAAAATATCTGGCTGATACAGACACACCTAAGCTATTATTCAGATGTGTCAATAGTAAAAAGACAATATTTAGATGTCCCTTCACATAACTGTTATTCATCAGCTACCATATACACAGAACTTTTAGAAAATGCCATTTACAATTTAAACTCTTAAGTTGAGCTGACACACTTTAATAATTAAGGCTATGTTATTTTATAAAATACAGTATTTGTTTATATATATATATATATATATATATATATATATATATATATATATATATATATATATATATATATATATATATAATATATATATATATATATATATATATATATATATATATATATATATATATATATATATATATATATATATATATATATATATATATATATATATATATATATATATATATATATATATATATAATATATATATATATATATATATATAAAAATATATATAAATATATATAAAATATATATATATATATATATATATCAATCACAAATATCACACATCAATCCAATATATATATATATATATATAAATATATATATATATAGGGTGGCAATAAAGTCATGATACAGTTACTTACAATAACAATTAAGACAAAGCAATTCATCAACAGTCCAGAAATTTATTATTAAAATGGTTCTGGTTAATAACAATATGCTATGGTAAACAATAGTAAATTAATTTACAATATGATTTGAGCTACAAGCCACCTGCTTCAATGCTTTGCTTTTTTATTATAAGTAACTGTATAGTGACTTTATTACCATCCTGTATTATATATATATATATATATATATATATATTAGGATATTTAAAACTGGTTAATAAAAACATGTAAGGATCTAAAAAAAATTGATTTCGTGTTTCAACAGATAAAATGCACCCCATCAGGTGATTGCAAATTACTAGCAAGTGAATGATTAATTTGGTTTCAAAGGCAAAATGCATCCTTATATATAAAAAAAAAAAATTTAAAAAAAATAAAGGCCCGAGGCTTTACCATGATTGCCAAATCAAATATGACCCACATTAAATTCAAACTAAGCTCTGCTATATAATCTCAAATATTGCTCTATATATTGAACCTTCTTTTAAATTAAATCTTACAAACATTGGAAGTGTACTCTATTTGTTTTCATCATACCTGGATACATGTAACATTATTATGAGAGGAGGCACAGTGGGGTAATGGATAGAAGCTTGGATTGAGGAATCGGAGAGTCAAGTTCGAATTTCAGTCGAATCCATTACATTCACTTACGTGCTAATACCCTTGGGAAAGGTGTGAATCCTCTTCTTCTCCCTCCAGCTATGGGTAAATAGCAGGACAGACTGGGTTCTATAGCCTTGATGGCAACTGGTCTAGGAGAAGGACAACTCTGAATTCAAAACCTCATGGAGGGTCATTTAGGGATCTTGTGGCACGAGTGCACCAGGTCTCTGTAATCGGCCCTTCAAAAAGGGTGGATGGTTCTGCACGAAACTTTCACCACTATAATCAAATCTCATGTGCTGTTATCGGGCTGTCGGTTTCCTAGGAACTGATCTGCTTGACCCTCATATGTCAAATTCGACGGGAGGAGAGTCAAGTATATATATATATATATATATATATATATATATATATATATAGAACACGTGATATATATATAACTCACCCATTTATATAAAAAAACACACACACGTTCTATATATATATATATATATATATATACACACATTATATATAGAAATATATATAACACATAAATAAGCACACACATACAATATATATATATATATATATATATATATATATATATATATAAATACACACAAAATATAATACATACACACACAAAATACTTACAGACACATAAAAATATAATACACACACATACATACATAAAATATACATACATAAAATATTATATATCTATATGGTATATTTAAAATATATATGTATAGAAGATGAGTTTTAGAATAGATCTCTATTACTTTGACAGATTTTTATCATGTTAAACATTACTTTTAATGGAAACTCCTATTTGAGTAGGTGCTTGATTTATTTATCAAACAGTATATTTATTTATTTTTGTCTAATGTCCTGAATGTTCAAGAAATCATATTAAAGAAAAATTTTACATTCTCTGGTATGATTCAAACCTGTGTTCCTAAGAGTAAAGTCAGCTACTGTTTAGCTTGTCCTGCCTTACCAGGAAGAGCAGTAGGTTAGATTAGGCTGAATTTTGTGCTTTCAAGTGAAATATCTCCTGTCACAGATCTGTCTAAGTTTTTTCATATATGTAGGGTTTTGTATCCAAGTGTAAAGAAAGAGAATTTTCAGAAAGGAATTTTTATTAATCCAAGTATCATAAATTTCATGTCTCTAAACCAAAACTGCTTTCATATAATCACCACAGAAAACCTTTTCTGCCTGCCATTAGGTTGGCTGATACTGAACTTCAGGACAGCCACACTCCACAACTTTTTGGTCTTATGTTTTCCACTGACATAAAGTGGAGTGATTATATCAAGTCAATTGCTACATCTACAACTACTGAGAGGATTGGTTCATTGTGCTATGACAAAAAAATCTTTCTTGTCAGAATCCATTTTGCACATTTATAAATTTGTCCGAGTATTGAATACTGTTGCCATATCTGGTCTTGACAAAATACAAAGAAGGGTTTACAACACAATCAATCCTGACCAGGCAAATAATCTCCAGTCACTTTCTCACTGACATGATGTGGCTTCCCTCAGTCTGTTCTACAAATATTTTTTTGCAACTGCTCGGACAAACTTGTTACCTCAACTATATGAATTTAAATGTGCTACTAGATTGGCAACTAGGTCTCACCATTTTACTGCCAATCTAGCTAGAGGCAACTCATTTCTACACTAGCAGCTTTTTCCTCACACTTCTTACCTGTGGAACTGCCTTCTGATTTCTTGCTTTCCTGCTAACTACAATCTTGAAAAAATTAGTGTCAATTGCCATTTTTCATTTTTTTGAAGCCTGTCCATTTTCACCCTTTACTCAATCCTCCCCATTTTCAATCTTCTCATTATCATTTATTCCCTGTAACCCCTGAGTTCTAGTGACATTGTTATCTTGCTTGGGGTGAAATGATTAAAAAAAAAAAAAAAATTAATAAATTGTATCATCCTAACTACTAATCATATATGGCAATTAAGAATAAATTTCTTATA